AAAAAAAAAGAAAGAAAGAAAGAAAGAAAGAAAGAAAGAAAGAAATGAATGGACAGCTCAGAGGGAGAGAGTACACAGGCTTCATAGTGGTTTGGCGAAAAGAGGGAGAGGAGAGCAAGACAGAGGAGAGAGAGAGGAGAGAGAAAGAGATGAAAAGAGGGGAGGGAGAGGAGAGAGAGAGGAGAGAGGAAAGAGGGGAGAGAGGGAGGAGAGAGAGAGAGAGAGAGGAGAAAGTGTATTGAGGAGAGGGAAGCGGAAAAAATACAGTATAATATCCAGTACTCAGCTACCGATTAGATGTTTGAAATCACAAAGTGACTTGAGCAAGGACAGATGGCAGTGCCAGCAGATAGGGCTAGTAATGATGATGCATTTCAACACAATTGGAGGCTGAAAGAAGAACAAATCTATGAGGGGAAATGGGATGCTGCTACAGAACTTCTGCCAAGGATGTACTCGGAACTCATGGAGGTTTTAGGGACAACAGACTGCTGCTTATGACACAGACTTGGAATTGGCTATGTTGACTGAGGTGAGAGGTAGAGCTATAGCAACAGAAACCAAAAGAGAGAAAGTGGCCAAGGACAGGTATCTGGGAAACACACTCTGAGGTGCAGGAGGAAGAGAACATCTGCATTTCATGACACAAGCTCACTACATTATCTAATTCTCTGTTGTCTTTTATTTAGTGCTTCCTGAAATGTCTGGTACATGATAGGTTCAAAGTAACTACACTGAGTAGGCAAATGTAGAATGAATATTCAATAATAGTATGCTGAAGTATTCTTAATATTTCTACAGAGAATTCAGTCACTTTAAACATTTTCCCCCAATCTGCCAGGCATTGGTGGCACACGACTTTAATCCCAGCACTCGGGAGGCAGAGGCAGGTGGATCTCTGTGAGTTGGAGGCCAGCCTGGTCTCCAGAGTGAGAAACCCTGTCTCGAAAAAACAAAATAAATAAATAAAATAAACATTTTCCCCAATCAAAGCATGATAGAAATCCTTTAAACTTTCTTCTCCCAACTTACTGATTACAAATTACAGTTGTGTTTTCTATTGCCGGAGCCTGCACGCATGCCACCACCACACTGTGCGTGACCTTCCTGTCCTCAGGGTGCTCTTCTGCACCCAATACAACCATTTCTAAATATAGACGGCCACGGTTTCAGCCAAACATGTAAGCTTTTTTAAACTTAACAGCTGATCTCTTTCATCTTAGAAAAAACATCTGGTCATCATCACCAGGGACACCAAGCAAGGTTGGTAAAAGTCTTTCAGAGAAACAACCAAAGGAACCGGCTCTGAGGTGATCTGAAGCTTACACTAAAGAAAACAATCGCACTCCAAGACAAGCTGGATGAAACCTCTGGGCTCCAAGTTCACTTTCCTGCACCACCTGCTCTGCTCTTACTTTTTTTGGATGCTGATCAAAACCAATGAGTTTCCCACCGTAGATCCTATAAGGAATCTAAGAGGGAATCTTGACCACATTTTATCACGTACCATGCTTGTCATTTGACAGGTCACCATTCTTTTCTTTTTTAAAAAGGACACTGGCTCTGTGACAAGGACAGAAAGAAGAATACACAGAAGTCTTTCAAATTTCCCCACCGTGTTCCCCAAACAAAGACAACCTGAGTTCCTATGAGTATGGTGGACTGTTGGAATACTGTCTTGCCAACTTCACCAGTGCTGGGGGAGGAAAGAAAAAAGCCAATTTTCCCAACCCATTGGTGAGTCTTTGTCTTAATAACTTTCAGCGATAGAACAGAAACAGACACGTGGCACCTTGCCTGTGCAAAAGCATCCTGTGTGACTCTCTGGCTGGTTTTTATTTTCTCCTGTCTTCCACTCTCATCAACAGTCCTGTCCCTGATCAAAGATGATCCGATCACACTCGTCTACCAATAAGACACATCAGAAAGTTACAATCAATGCTCAGTCTGAAATGAAGCCACTCAACAGCTCTGTGATGGGTGAGACTGACGTGAAAAAACAAATCTATAAACACCTGTGTCAAAAAGTACTAAGATTCTGGGGCTTCTGCGAAGTTAATATACAACATTCCCTTTAACCTTATGAGAAGTAGGGATGGATGGAGTTCCTTTTCATGCCCACTATATTTCTTACAGTGTATTTATCTGCACTGGAACTAAAAGCTGTTAAAGGTTTGGAAATACCTGTTCTAACGGTTTGTTTCTGAGGTGTTAACTGACACCGGATAAAGTAAGAGACTGTCCCAGGTCATATTAGTGGGAACCAAATTAAAAACAATGTGGAAACAAGGCAGGAAAGCTGCTTTCACTGTGAAATTATTACAACACTACAGATTACATACCCCAGGGCCCCAGGACAGTAGCATCCATCTTTACAGATGGAAGTTAGTTTGGATAAAACTGTCATTTATAGAACACACTGATCCCATATGAAGATGAAGTCTTAAGGTTCTTCAATTATGGTACCAGGTAATAGGTCTTAATATTATCTACAAAACTGCAGGCAATACCCTTGCAAATTGCAATACTCATCATCCAAAGCAAAGCCAACAGATTACCTTATACATAAACTTAGCCAGCCAGGCAGAAACATTTCCTGCAAGGAGTCTGGAATCACACTGGATTGTGGCATAGGCACATATATAAAAATGGGCTATCGTCCCAAGACCACAGTGGAGAGACAAAGCAGACAGAATGGGGAAACAGAAGATCAGGGTCTATGACTGTCCAGGGAAAAGAGACATGGACACTACATGTGACTGGCACCTGGAGAGTTGGCTCCTTTTCAGGGAATGGTGGCCTAGGTACACTGATTTCAACACACATACTTTATATCAAATAGCATGCGCAAAAGCTGGCCTTCTGGTGACTAAGTCAGTTTCACATGTTCTTCCTGATGGGCAGAAAATGCCCTGCACATACTTTTTAAGCATTCCTGTAGATGGAAGTTTCTGTCCTGTCCAGCCCTGAAGCCACTCAGTCCCAAATAAACACACAGAGGCTTATATCGATTAGGAACTATTTGGCTGATGGCTCAGGCTTATTGGCTTGCTCTCTCTTAATTATTAACCCATTTCTACTAATTTGTGCATCTCCACATGGTTTTGGCTTACCAGAGAATGCCCAGGCATCCTACCTTCCCAGTAGCTACATGGCATCTCCTCGGGACTCCCTGTGTTCCTCCTCACAGAATTCTCCTAGTCTGGTAGCCCCACCTATACGTCCTGTCTGGTTACATCCTGCCTGTCCACTGGCCAAAACAGCTTTGTTCATCAACCAATAGGAGAAACACATATTCACAGCCTACAGAAGGGCGTCCCCCATCACACTGCAGTCATTGGGTTCTACTTTTGTACAGATTACCTAAACTGTAGTTGATTCAGTTCACCAAATTAAAAATCTTGCAAAACCCTTTTAATAAAGTGCTTGCATATTTAGGACATCTTTTGTTTTCAGAGTTAATTAACACCAAGCATTATTATCTCTGTAGATGTGACCAGTGGGAATTTCCTTTAAAACTTAAATCCCTTTCCTTGTTAATGTGGATGGCTTTCCAATGCTTTTTCAATGCGACCAGGATCTGTATGACAATATCACATTTCCTGTCTCTGTGCCTCTTACCATTTTAGTGACAGACAGGAAGCATTAGGAGCCACTTATTCTTTTGAGTTAGTGTCCCTGTGCCAAGTGAGAGACACCAAGAAGTCTATTTCTACTCTCTCCTCAGCCAAGATGCTATTCTTAGTCTGATACCAAGAATACTCTCTCCAGGAATGCCTTGTGAAACAAGATGACTCTGCTAAGGTTCAGATCAAAGGAGCTGAGTTTGGGCATTATCCTGGGGTCAGCTCCGGTGGGAAGGTCTGACACTCTCACTATTATCTAGGGTTCTTCACCAGCTCTGCATACATCTCCTCAAACTCTGACCAGACATGTCCTTGCAGAATCATCGTAATACGTATTCTGGACTCTCATCACTTCTGTTGCACAGACCCTAGACAACAGCAGCCCAGGCCTGACAGCCCAGAGTGCGGATACTGGTTTTCTGATGCTTACATTTCTGAAGACATGTGAGGCAAAGAAGAATTTATTTATTCTACAAATATGGGCCTCCATGGGGACTCAGATAACTTCATACAGACTAGGCATTAAAGTCCTAGCTTCCTAAATTCAAGTTTAAAGTCAATGCCAATGGTGCTCTATGTCTTGATGGACCTTGGAAACCCAAGTATCAAATTATCCTATGACTCAGTCATGATGAAAAACTATCAATTACAATGTAAAGGTAACTATGGTATCCTATTTATAATTAAGCAGCTATAACAATTTTGGGGCATCTCATTTAATACTTCAGTGGATTTAGAGAGTCAATTTTATTGTTCTTATTATATGAGAAAAATTGCCAGTTTCAACCAAGATGAAGAGAAGTGCCAAACTGAGATTTAAGCACAAGTCTACATTACTCTAATGCTTGGAGATTACATTCCTACAAATTACCTTTGGCTGGATTTCAGGAGTGAACCTCAATTTCATAATGACCAATAATTAAACTACTCCTCTTTTGGTAATTTGGTATTTCCCATTGTAATAATTTTCTAATTTCACGCTATAAACTATTCTTCAAAGAGCTATGCCTTTCATGTACATTATTGTAATTCGGGCTTGTTAAGAACCCTGTGAGGTACTGCTGCCTCCTTTGCAGACTAGCAAGTTCAAGTTCAGAGAGACAACCTAATTTGCCTAGAGTTACAGTGCTGGGAGGTGGTGCAGCTGGACTCAAATGCTTGCCTCTAATGCATGCACCCCAGGTGCATATACAGCTCTGTCTCATAACCACAAGGTCAGCACATCACTCACGTAGTCAATGGGCTTGAGAGCTCTGACTCTAGCTGATGGGCAGCCACAGGAAGCAAGGTCAACGTAGAGGCCTTCTTCTAATACACACTGGTGATAGAAAACATCTTCTTGGTAATACAGGAGCCAGCTATAAAACAAGCAGTAAGACACTCAAATTACATTTCATCCTCAAGGTTGTCCTGTCATCCAGCTGTAGAAACTAGTACACAAGTCATGGCAGTTTGGGGCAGTGCCGGTCAACAAACAGTGACTACTCTTGTTTTCTTTCTGCTTACTATGCCCCAGACATGAGGCACAGACACTGTTTCATGGTGTCCTCAATAAGGGCTTAAGTTGAAGATACAAGTTCATTTTTACAATCACCATACTATACTAAACATTATAAAAGTTAAGGCATATTTCCTAAGATTCACCCATTAAATGGCAGGGCTGAAACCTAAAATAAAAAGACATCTACTTTACACTAAAAACATTTTGTAAATTTAGTGCCTTTTAAGAAAAACAAAAAACCCTGGGATCAAATTATTATCATGATTAATCACAGGAATTAAGCTATTTGGGGGAAAGTTTTAAAGTGTATCTGTCACTTTTATATCATACAGTTAAGAGAAAAACATTTTTTGAAGTGAATCCTTCATGTTAAGTTGCAGTCAATACACCATATGGCAAGAACCTGGCTAAGGTTGCTTTTTCTAAAGGAGAAGACCAAGGGAAAATTTATTGGCTATTACTGGTTTAGTTAGGGTGCATTTAAGTTTTAGCCCATAATTGAAGAATGTTAGTACTGTCTGTACTTTACCTAGACCACGTTAATTCTGTATTACTATAGGAATGTCGGTGGCATTGCACTTTACTGTCATTTTATCCTGTTTGATGAATGTTTCACTACCAACATTTATCAAGGCTTTTAAATGTATTAGGCAGGAAGCTGAATCCTTCATTTGCAGTATTCTATTTAGTGCTTAAGAGTCTACTGGAGCATGGCTCAGCGGCAGAGCACTTGCCCTGCACAGGTGAGACCCTAAGTTCCATTCCCAGCACCAGGAGGAAAAGATAGTTCTTAGAGGAGGTACTATTTATCCTTCCTCCTTTGCACATAAGGAGTCTGTGTACCAGGGGATGACCCATTGCCTAGAGCTACATAGCTGGCAAGGACTGGACTGGGAGGACTCTGTATACCAGGGATGATGACCCACTGTCCAAAGTTTCACAGCTGGGAAGGACTGGACTGGGCTCATCTCCAGGTCTCCTACAAAAACTAGATGCTGAGTAACTACTTCATTAAGATGCGTTGTCTCCACGCTTCTAAAATTCTTTTCATTTAGAGTTTAATACTTATACTTCCAGCATATAAGGGCATACGTGTCTAATTTGTCCTAGATTTCAGCACTGGGAGAGAAAACAAAGACTTTCCTGCAGGAAAACTTCAGCACTTCTTTTTACTTGATAAATGAAAATTCATTTTGTAGAACATATTCTTTTTCACATTAGTGGAGAAGAAACTCAAAACCAAATAGTATGAAAACTATTTCAGGACCTCACTATATTTCTTTCTTACAAAAGAGTGGCAGGTAATCTTTCTAAACTTACAAGATTTTACGTTTTAGTGCTGTAAAATCCTCAAACCCTTTGGAAGCAAATATAAAAAACAGTAACAGATACAGAAAAGATCAAACTGGAAGAAGGAAACACAGAAGGAAACCACCGCTTGGATGTATCTGGATGAGTAGTAAGCAAGTCTTAAAATTCTGCATCTTAATGGAGACAAGTAGGTAAGGAAGGGGCGTGAGTAGTCTACCTGGCAATTGAAAAGTAAAAAGCAACTTGGAAAGGTGGTGGCTTTGGGACAGTGGGGAACAAACAAGCCCTCCATTTAGTACCAGAAGTTATTTCCAACGGCGAAGGCTTTCTCGAAGTTATTTAAGGGACAACAAGAAGTAGGTGATGTTGAAATAATACATACTAGCTCTATTAGTATCTAAATTTTTTTGAAAACACATCCAATAGAATAAATAAATACTACCTGCTGGCTCCATTTATCAATGATCCACAACTTTTGCAAGGATTGGCAAACCAGGACTGCGTACCAGACAGTCCCATTGTTTACTCTCAATACAGCCCACAAGCTGAAATGATCTCTAAAATTTTATATGCTTTTTAAAATTAAAAGAACGCTATTTATATGTATGTGGTACATATACAATGCAAATCTCCATGTGCACCAGTAAAGCTTCACCACAATTCAGCTGTTCCTATTCACCGAGTTAAACCAGTGGCTGCTGGCTTCTGTGATACCAGGACAGGGAATGGCACCAGGGACAGAGCTTGCCAAGTCGCCATCTGGCCTTGCCCAATGGACAAGACCACTGGCTGGTGGAGGGGCAAGGACAATGAGACCAGCTAATGGTACATGGCCTGGGAAAGGAAGAGATGAACTTGATCTGCCTTAACAACAACGACTAGAGATAAAGGTTGATGAGGGAATATATTAAACTGCAATGTGGGGCATCGATCGAGACCTGCTCACAGGAGAGGAAAGGTATACTGACAAGCAGGAGGGACTCGGAAGTGCTATTAGGTAGACACCAGAAATGTGGTGAATGCAACCAAACTACAGACTTAAAGATGGCTACAATAGTAATATTGTGTCACAGATATTTTATTATAGAAACAATAGACTACACTTTAGCCCAAAGAATCATACAGCTTCACATGTGAAAAAGATTGACCATGCTGTTAGAATTGGAAGAATAAAGAATTTAGAGGTCTTTTTTTTTTTTTTTTTTTGAAAAATGATTAAATGACAAAAAAGGTGAGGAGTAGTTCCAGAACCCTAACTCCAAACTAGATTCCTTAATTGTGAAACAGATATAAAAACTATTTTAAGCAAACAGGAATGATATATCGTATACCTGTATCACAATAAACAAGAAGAATCCTAGAGACTGCTATTAGGTTCAAGCTTCAAGCTGAAGATCAGAAAAGCAAAGCAGCCAGCCACTAGCTCTCACCTCTACACCTCAGATCAAGAGACTACAGGGTCTATTCTCAAACTGCTCCAACTTCACTGCTCCTCAGATTCACTCAGACTGCTATGCCCTCCTCAGTGTAGCTGGAGACTAACTCTCAGAGTGAATGCCTCCACCTTTTGCATTTCTCAAATCCTGGGATTAAAGGCGTGTGCTCTGATTCACTCTCTGGTAGCCCAGGGTGGTCTTGGACTCAGAGATCCATCTGCCTTTCTCCTGGGTACTGGGATTAAAGGTGTGTACCACCACTGCCTGAGGCGCTATAGCTTGAGGCTGGCTTTGCTTTCTGAATTCTTAGGCAAGCTTTAGTAAATCATAAATAACGTATCACCACACTTGCCTAGACATAAGTAGCGGCTATTTTATGACATTTTATTATGCTGTACAATAAGCATACAACATAAGCATTAATCTTAGAAAATCATCTAAGAAAATATTGAGAAATAAAACCATTAAAAGGCCTTTAAAGTTGGATAATCAACATTTTTTTATACTCTGTATCACTAAAATTACAAATTCAGAAAGATTAACAGACTAGTTAGAAACTGATCTGTTTTAAAAAAGGTAAAAAAGAAAATTTTACTGTGTAGGCACAAGAAAAAGAAAAAAAGCTTTCCCTCTGAAAACTTAAAAAGAAATTTGGTTTTAGGTAAGAGCAGAAGAGTAGAGAAGCACACTCACCAGCCACGGAGAACCTTGAAGGAGGATGGCAAGAATGAGGTCAGGTCAGCACATTCTTTTATAAAATCTATGCACTCGCCTTGGAAGCCCGGTTTGCTGAAGGCTTTGAGCTGTGAGAACATAGTAGTAATTGACTGTGAAATGGCCATTAACATCATCACAAGCAAATGCACTTTAACACACTCAAACGTCCAGCAGGGTATTAGATTCATGTTTTATTTACTATCAGTAAAGTTATGTGAAGAGTAGCAACATTCTCCTTAATGTGCCTTTATTTCTCCTTACTTGGTTGTGAGAATGGAATTTCAGTATTTATCACTTTCATCATAGTTTGCATCAAACTGTGTGGGATTAGCCCCTGATTTACAGTAAAGAAAGAGAGGCATCCATGTCATACATTCTGGGTTATGGCTTCTTCAGTTTTCTGGTAAGAATATCTTAAATATACAGTTTATAGCTGAATATCATTTGACTTTTTGTCAAGGTAAGACAAACACACAATGAAGTCCCAACTAAAATTCCCTTTTGAGCTTGAAAACAGCAAGTTGCAGCTCTCGAGGCCTTGCATCAAAAGTAAGAATAAACTAATGAGCTCTACAAATAACTATTTCCTAAACCTCTGGAGACTCTACCTGGCCTGGCCTAAGGGGCATGCTGCACTGACACGCTTGCATAGTAAAGGAAGGCATGGTAACAAATGACCTGCACACAGTCCTCCTACCCAGGCAGCCATCAGAAACAAGACTCCTTGAGCCTTGGATGCTCACCGCCTTCATCTTCCCAAGGGTCCTCTAACAGGATCTGTTTCTTGACAGACCCATCCTGCCTGACTCTGCTTGGTCTGATATTGAAGATCAGCCAAAAGCTAGGAAGTGAGAACACCAACGCTGCCCTGAACAACTGTGGCTTCTCTCACAATGTGACTTCCTGTTGAGAAACCACACTGTATTGGTGCACCAAGCACCAAGGGATTGCCGGTCTTAAGGAGAAGAAGATCTACCACATTTCAGTCAGGCTCTTTCTCAGGTAGACAGGACAGTAAGAAAAGAGGAAGTCCCAAAGGAGACGTATGTGTCACAATGTTCATTTTCATTCAGGCTAGAGATGTGAGCGTCAGTACAGAACTTGCTCAGCATGCACGAGCCCGATCCCAGCTCCTCACTCCAAATAACAACAACAAAAACACTACACTTCAACATTTCACCATCAAGTGAGGAAATATCAAATTCTAGACACCAACAATTCGGGGGCAGGACAAGAATAAACTTGAGTTTATTCTTTTGCCTCTAAAATGAGAAAGTATGTGGTTAAGTAAACATTAGGCCAAACCTACAAAATAACCACCTGATTTTGGCCACCCATCAGTGCATCAGAATAGAACAACTCTCACAATAACGCCATCCACAAAAGCATCCTCAGGATATTACAAGCCACCTCTATGCTCAGGACCTGTAAACAATTAAGTTGTAGTAATGAAATTAAGTGATGGTGGTTTTGAAAAATTAAGGTTGGAGAAAACTTAACTACACAAATCACTATAGTATTTTCCTTTAGACCCTAATGGAAAATAGATATATAAAACAGCCCAATGGGTTGCTTAGAAACTAAGCAACTAGAAAAAACAGATATGAGTTATCTTCAAACTGCATGCATCACCATGGACCATGTGGAAATGTGCCTATAACTACCAGCCTCCTCCAGGGAAGTCTACAGAAGCAAGAAAATGGAGAGAAGAAAGGAGGGAGTGAGAAAAGCAAGAGGGAGGGAGGAAAGAAAATAAAATTCTGCCACTTGATGACGAGGTATCTTTTTACACACAGGACCATATTTCTTCCTTAGAACTACCCTCTTGAGGAAGAAATTATCAACATTTTATGAGTAAGATTTCATAGAAATCTATTTTACTGTGTAATTTTTCATTTATGATACACATGAAGAAAATATAATGGGGTCTAACCTGACAAATTAAAAATCCAGTAACTTAATTGTTGACCAAACACAGATAGCCTGCTCAACTTACTCCACAGGATCAGCAGGGACTGTCAAGGTTATTTCCTTTCCTTTACAGTAAGGTAATTTCTAAGAAGGTCCTTCTCTCTAATACTTCCCCAACCATTTTGACCATCTTCATGGATGCACAAAGACTGTTGAATAAACAAACAAAAACCTCTTTCTTCGCATCTTCAATTACATCCTATATAAATCAGTTTCTCGTTTCAACTAAATATCCTATAGAAATTTTACCTTCCTGATCACCCAGGCAAGATTTTCTTTGTTTAAATAGTTCTTCCTAGGTGTTTCTGGGCTTTCAATGTATAAAAATCCCCCTGTATCAGTGATTCTCTACCTTCCTAATACTACAGCCCTTTAAAACAGTTCCTGTTGCAGTGACCCCCAGCCATAAAATTATTTTGTTGCTACTTCATAACTGTCATTTTGGCACTGCTATGAATCTTAGTGTAAGCACCTGATATGCAAACCCCCAAAGGGGTTGCAACCCCCAGGCTGAGAGCCGCTGCTCTATACAACAGCAAGCAAAGCCATTATAAACTCCATCACTTCAAAGTCACTGAAGCTAAGTTATGCGACAGAAGAAATTACCTGGTTTCTTTTTCTCTGCAGAAAACAGTTCAGTATTTCAGAAATTCTAAACAATCATATTTGCAAATAGACTTGAGAAAGGTCCTAAGAATCCAAGGCAGTTGGCTAAGTCAAAGGGGGATAGATTAGAATACTGGCTCACTATAGCCTGAAAAGAAATAAACTTTTGTAATATTTAATCTAGTAATGTTTATGACATTCAATACCTGCTAAGTTGGAGAGATGACAATGATCCATACTCTGTTTAATGTTTTTGTTTTGGGGGAAATAAAAATAAAATTAAACATCACCTCCAACAATGGAGAGCTCTACCTACTATGCCATGTGAATCTTGAGTTGATAATCAAACTTAGTGACAGGTCTGCATCTCAAGAGAAAAGCACTCTCCACCATAAATGCTGTTTTTTTTTTTTTTGTATAACAATTAAATGTATATTTTCATGCCTACAAAACCAGCAATCCTATGTTTATGACGCTAATGATGTATATATTACTCTCTACCCATTTTCTAGAGTTTATCCCTCTTGAGCGGCTTATAGGTTCCCTTGAGATAATTAACATAAAACGAAGAATTTCCTCTTGGACTTGAGCCCTGAAATGTAACTGCATCCTTACCCAGACATGAAGAATACCGTAAGTAAACACAGCCAAGATTTGCTTGTTTTTGTTTAGGTCAATCTAAACAAGAAAATGGGCCAACTCAGGGGATCTGATGCTGTAGAAACAAAGAGGCTTTGTACACACATTACCAAACATCAGCTATCATAAACCTGTCTGAAAAGCTGATTTCACAATCACGGAGCTGCAGCTAGAAATAAAGAAGCACAGGGGATTCACTGGGTGTAGTCTACCACTTCCCTCTTCCAGTGCGTCTGGAAACACTATAAAGAAAATCCAGCAATCTGGCCCCAAACAATGAAGTTCATTTTCAAAAACAAAGAGCAAGGAGTTGGGAGGGGGGGAAAGAACTTAGAAGAATGGGATGTTTAATCTGCACTAGATACTCAAAAAAGAAAAAAAAAAGTTTGAAATTATCCCCCTCCCCCGTTAATGTCTTTAGCTACATATGCTATATTGATTCATATAAAAACATGTGCTTTAAAGACCCACAGCTGGACGTTTCCAAAAATCCAAACTCAAGGTTCTGGCAGGAACTGTCTCTAAACACAACTACTCAATTATGTCCAAAGAGGAACTGTTCTCCAAGGTCTCCGCTAAATAGGAACTAATAAAAACCTCAAAGCATTTCCAGTGAGGAGAACGGGACTGAACTAAGCTGGACTGAAATGTTAAGACACTGACATGAAAACTGTATACACTCAGAGAAGACTTACACCGGGTTACAATAGTCAATGTCACTGATCATCAATCACCGAATGGGCTTTGCACAGGGATTTTAAAAGAGGCGGGGAGAGCTGTGTTCTTCCTCCCCTGTTTTTCTCTCATTGTGTCTCTGTCCCTGTCTAGTCCTCCTTTCATGTAAGACCTTGAAAACAAACTACAGGATGTCTACTTTCCTTCCGCTAGCTGTATGATAATGTCACTGACTTCAATTCAGAATCTCAAGTTTTATGTTCGTTCATGAGGTTAATAAACACAGAATTATTACAAGTACTAAGCAAGCAGTTACTAGACCTTAGCAGATGGTAAACCAACACTAGGCTTTCGTGTCCTAGCCAAACCCTTTAGAACATGTGTGCACACACCAGGGGGTGGGGAGAAACTGGAGAGAGACAGGGAGGTTTAAGGTTACTAGAGCTTTAATAAAATCATACAAGTATATGAAATCCTTGTACAAGGCAATGAGAAGGCTCAGTGGGTAAAGGTGTTTGTCACTAAGCCTGATGACCTGAGTGTAAAGACCAGAAATCTACATGGTTAAGAGCAAACCAGTTGTCCTCAGCCTGCCACACACATGTACCAGGCCAGGGGAGCACACCCCTCCCCAGAAAGTAAAGAAATTAATGTAGTAAAAATGTTTTCCAAGCCTGTGTACATAATAAGCATAGTGAGAGAGGGGCTGCAAGCTCTTTGCTCCTCCAGGAATGCTGGGATATGAGCTACTAAGCGAGACAGTGACAGGGACAGAGCGGGCAATAGGAAAGACAGAGGTCAGGTTCCAAGGACCCACTATGGTCAGAGCACCAGCTCTGTCAGGAGGAAATGCTGTGGCAAATCCCAACCAATCCAAATCACAGAAAGGACACTTCTCTGCTCAAAGACACCGAGTACAACAGAAACTTGCTTTTTCACATAGACATGTAAAAGTTATCTCAGGGAAAGAGAAAGATTTGAGAAATTGTAAATGCTTTTGGTAAATACTCCAACAATGACACATTAAGACTATTTTGAAACATACCAAATGTGGAGGCTCATTTATTCCAAGTGGTTCCTGAAAGACATTAAGATGTTTTAAAAATGGCATCATATCATCTTAGCTGGCTTTAGAATGTTTTGCAAATATCCCTAGAAAAAGATTTTTATGACCTCACCAATTTACTAAATTCCCTCACCTTGCTGTGACCCCTTCTGTCCCCAAGAACCTATGGCATTTTCTTGGAATGACTTTAGTAGTCATGACTAATTTGAGTACTCCTGTAGCTAGGAGAAAAGAGTGCATGGGCCTCACTTTCTGACACTAAGGCAGAGACATCCCAGCCTCTCTGTGGTACTTCTCATTTACCACGGCCACGGTGCTTGACACTTTATGGTTTTACACACAGCTCCCTCTATGATGGGCTGTTCTTTCTGCTTAAAGAATTCCCATAAGGTATCCCAGGTATCCTTTCCTTTGGCAATGTCTTAACTCCCATGAATGGAGTGTCCTTCTCTACCTCTTCCAGCATGAACGACACACTTAATCTTCTTCTTAGCCCCACTGTCATTAACTGCCCATGAATGTCTCTCCCTTTAAGAGATCAAGAGCCATCAGGGCAGGCACACTCATCCTGTGTCTCCAGTGAGTCAGCACAGTGTCTAACAAGTCAGAAGCAGGAAACCATGCTGCTGAATGAACTGGGTCTATAAAAGGGATGCCTCAAGTAGTGTTCAGATATACTAGCTCCCTCCACAACCAGTAGAGACTTATTTACTGTATACAGAAACACAAAAAGAGAATCCAAATCTAACCACATTAAAACAATGTTCTACACAGTCAACTGGACCCTGTGACATGCTTCTGGCCATCGGTCTGCCCCACACTCCACTCACCAGCTGGATTGGTCGGATTGACAAGATTGTATTACTTGATCCTCCCCAATCAAAAAAGCATTTGTATTTTCCTTTCTCTAAGATGTACTGGTCTCCACAGAAGAACTTCTGGCAGTAGGCAACCCATCTAGTAGGGAGAGAATAGGAGAGCAGTAGAATCAAGAAGCTCCCAGCTTTAAGCCCCTACGACTTCCCCCATACCCCCGGCTCTTGAGGCTGGTGCTACGTACACTCCACTCTTCACATGGATGGATCTTGTTTCCCGGCCAAAGCCAATTTCTTCTAAGTCTGAAATTTCCTGATTTGTAATGTCAATGAACTTCCCACTTTCAAGGTCAGATTCAAACAGTGTGATAGCGGATTCTATAAAATTCTGAAAAGAGGGAAGAGGGTTGTTTAAAAACATACACACACACACACACACACACACACACACACACACACACACACACACACTCGACACAATTCCACATACTGTCACGATAGTGTTCACACAAATAATTCCAGGAAGAACCTTCAAGGCATGAAATACAACATAATCTCTACTCCAATATAGATTACAGAAACTTAATCTAGATTGCTATATGGTTTACAGAAAAACATTAAGTCTGGCTTTGCTCTAATCTGAAAAGAATACATGTCAAATAAATAGAAATCAGTCACCAATTTTAGGTAAACTGCTAGGATTAGATGTATCACATGTAACAATAATTACAGAAAATACTCAAAACTTTCACTTGAGCAAAATCTCACAAGGCAAAGTAAAAACATAATGTACTGTGAGCAACAGGAAGCATGGTTTTATGAGCCCTCAATACAACTGAGCTTTAAAAAAGCTACTTGTTCAATAATCAAACACTGTTTCTAAAGTTGTCATCTTATGAAAACTTTAAATATATACACATAATCTAATAAAGACAGAGGCCACTCACAGGGGCAACATCAGAGCCAAACACATAAATTCCTCATTTCACTGGTAAATTAAGAAACATTAAAATGACTAGATGCAATTTTGCGTCGAAGCCCTTCAAGGAAGAGATTTAAATAATATATAATAAAACATACATGTTATGAAAATCGAAAAAATACTGAACAATTTTTCTTTCTCTCTATCCAATGATAAACTCAATTGATGTTAAAAGATTTTACATATGTATGTATATATAATTTCTCTATCAACATTCCTTTTTGCATGTGTAATGCCACCAATATTTGTTCTGTACGCTCTTGCCCTTTCATTTTTACCAATGATTAACAGCTTAGGGTAGATGAATACAGATTTGGACTCAAAGTCATGGTGAGTAGGTCCTCGCTAGCCAAGTGACCGCCACTCCATTTCCCCAGGTGGTGTGGAGGGACACTGCACGACTGAGTGCCACTGCTGCTCCACATCTCACCTGGGGAAACAGAATGGAGGCCACATGGCTAGTGGGGAGCATAGAAATGAAAGGACAGCCCTACACCCATGCACACAGGTAGCACTAACTGGACCTGATGGGTTACCAACGTTTTTATTTTAAAAAGGCAGGAACATGAAGCTGGCGGGTACACATTGGGGACATATAAGGGGAGCCGGGAGGCGGACATGGTGAGTAGTTAAGATCAAATTTCACTGTATACATTTATAAAAATACAAAAACAAAACAAAACAAAACAAAAAACTGGGCCCAGTAGAGCACATCTGGTACTCTCTGGCTGAATCCAATGTCCAGTTTCCATGACAGACCCTGGCTGGAACAACTAAGTAGAAAGATTTGGAGGAAGACATGCGATGTCAACCTCTGACCTACAGAGGGGGGGGGGGGGGGGGGGGGGGGGGGGGGGGGGGGGGGGGGGGTGCGCACACACGCTAAGCCATATGAGGAATGAGACTTTAATAATCTGTGATCACCTTTTGGAAACTTCCCCCTAAGAGGCTCCCAGACACAGACACGCTTTTGTTCCTCCACGCTGAAAGTGCACTGGCCAGCTTACAGCAAGTGTGAGGGCCCAGCGATGGCTGAACAGGGCTCAGGCTGGTGCTTGTCAGGAACCAGTATCAACAGTGACCAGCAGAACCAGATCTGAACCTAATGGAAAGGTTCAGGGGCAGCACTCAGTCACAGTGACCTCTCTTCCCCATTTCTCATGACTCAAACTCCCTAGGTCTCCATCGCTAGGTTGCTCTGGTTCTGCGAGTACTTGGTATTTACTCGGTGTTGGGACCATATGACTGGGAAGCACAGTAAACTGAGAAGTGTTTTGGATCACTGTTTCACAGGTCACAGAAAAACACAGGCATTGCATGTGTGTTGTCTATCTGCCCTCTCACTCAAATACTTGTGCTAGCAGGGATGTGTTTGACCTGAGCCATGACTTGCACACACCACACTGTGTGAATAGTAGAAGAGCTGGTGCAGCAAGAAGAGTCAGTTGAGAAGTGGTCTGGAGGCTCAGGCCATGTGTGACTGTGAGGCCTGGAGCTAAGGAGAGGAGGGACCTCTTCTCACAGGAGTCGCTACAGAAAGTATGTGCTGAGAGCACACAGGACCATGAAAACATACTCAGACACCCTGAGTTTTCTACATTGTCTCCCACCCCCAAAGCCTTAGCAGTGGACTGCAGGGAAAGCCCACGTGGTGTAGCTTCTCTCTTTCTGCTTCCTGATTTTATTTGTGGTGTTTCTTGCTTTAGAGCTTTCGTTTTCTATCTTTTCCCAGTTTCTTCTCTCCCTCTGAACCAATACCCTGGGCTTTGTCCTGCTCTGCATTTTTCTTTCAGGCCTGTCAAACACATATCAGACCCAGCTGACTGGCAGTATTGAGGTAGTAACCCTGGAAGCCAGAGCTGGGGCTCAGAGCCAATCTGTGTGCTCATCATGTGCCAGTGCTGGCTGGGTCCAACCTCCTGAGGATAGCCATCTAGAAGTCACACGGACAAAATACAGACTTACAAAAGGAAAAACCTGGGGATGGAGTTCCCGGTGGAGTGATTGCATATCATGAATGAGGCCTTCGATTGGCCTCCCAGCACCCAGAAAACCCCAAAGACAATGAAACAAAGCATTTAAGTGCCTTGTTCTAGAACTGAGTGGAGCAGATACCTGTAGCCATGTCTAGGGTCTGCCTATGAATTCTAGGTTACCACACCCCTGGTCTTTTCTAGACATTTAAGTCACTGAATGCAGACAAGGGTAGGTTTTCAGCTCAAGGAGAAAGAACAATGGTGGAATGACTTCAAAAGCTGTATCATTATTTTTTTATTTGTAAGGCACTTGACTTATTCAGTATAGTCTCAAGTACAGTGCCACCTGTGAGAGAAAACTGAGCACTGTTGTAAGCCCAAAGACGAATCACAGGGCTCAGCAATGTGACCACTTTCAAACTCCATAAACCCTCTGGGCTGATCCAGCCAGTGAGCTCCTATGTTATGACCCTGGGTGGACACTGCAATCTAGGAGCCTGTGGAGACCTGGTGAAACCATTAACTTAAAGGAAATAGTGGTCTCCAACTCCACCTGAGCTCAGAGGTCTGAAGACAGATGCTGGGCCCAGCAAAGAGCAAAATCAAAGGGCAGAAGTAAATCTAAACAGGCAGCTGCATAAAACTGAAGGGAAACAGGCATGCCAAGTACATTTTATCAAGGAAGAGAATGAATAAAAACTCTTCCACCCCAAAGTCTGAACTCCACTGCATTCCTTCCAGTGTTCCACTTTCTGAAAAAGCAATCAGCTACACGTGAGTATCTGAGTGACTCATTTGGAACTGGGAATGCATTCCTCCTCGTCCTCTTCAAAACATTCCATGGCACAGTTCCCACTGTCCCGGAGGAACACATCCGCTATTTGACCTTAGTAAATCCAGAGTGTTCCATGTGCTGCAGCCAGGATATCTGAGTGGACACCATGCACCACATGACACAGCTTTCCTGACTGCTAGCATGGTGAGTTCACATGACTTTAATGAGACTGGGAATGCCATGCTTCCCCCTTTCCCAGGTTACAGACATCCCAGCCCAGGGGGAAAAGGTCCGTCATACCAGCTCAGGGCCAGAATCACTCCTTCCCATTTTGTGTGCCTGGCTGAGGAATATACAAATCTCTAACACATAACTTGAATACCAGGTCTTTAAAGACTTTGGACAATATCTACAAACATCTTATGCCTAAAAATGCCTGGTTCTTTTAGTATAATTCATCCGGTGCACACTAGTAATAGCCTTCTAGAGCTGCATCTGAAAGTTGTGTAAACATACGTTATATATTGCCAGCTGACCCTACACGAATAGCTCCAGTGAATTAACAAACCTAATGAGCCTCTGATGGGAGGAAATCCCACTTTCTGCTGTGCAGGTGCTCTTTAAGGCCATGTATTTGGAACAATGAAAATGGGTATTATGAAATTTGCTCTATAGAAGACACACTCGCTCTTCAATCCGCCTAACCCCCAACATGTTCAGTGGACTCATGAGAGCTTTTGTCAAGATTAGTGCAAGTCTCTGGTAAAGCCATAAACTAATAAATGGAAAATACTAAGATTTTTGTTGAGGATTATAATGTCATCCTAAAATCTAACTTAAAGTTAGCACAGAAGAGGTTTTATCTGAAGAGCACTTTTAATTATTATTACAAAAACTAGCTCATAATTTGTATACATGGCACAAACTTTTGTGCACAGCAGAAATTAATGTGTTTATGACTTTTTTATGACTTTTTTTTCTATCATATATTACAAAAAGCTCTGGTCTACATCAAATCTCTCTTGATTTAGCTCTCTTGATTATGATAGTCCTCCTTGCATTTCTAACTCTTGGCAGAGTCCAGCCAGTAACTTGGGCCTGCTTTTTGTTCGATTGCTTTAGTCATGGTTGCTGTTCAGAGAGGCCTAATCCTTCCTTCCTAAATGTTTCCCACAGCATTAATGCTCCCACCTGACTCCCTTTTCAGTAGGCTGGGGAATTGTTTTTAAGTATTTAATATTGAGTAACAATGACTAGCATCGTGGCCCCAAACTCCTTAGTGCCTGTGGCCACAGTGCCCTAAGGAGGAAAGCAGGCTTCATGGGGTTCCGTTTTGTCTTTTTTTCCTGTTGGTGCTCGTGTGGGACACGTGTCCTTTGTGTATCAGAATTAACATTTTTAAAGTTATCCATCTCGTGCTTCAAAAGCAACTCCTGTATTCAACCTCCATTTCTCCCATGGAGACCTTTCTTTAAAAAAACTTACTTTCTTATCAAAAAAGATCATTTATGAAAAAAGCAACTCCCCCTTGTCCCCTGTGCACCTTCTCTTCCAGCTCCTCCTGTCTAGTAGGGGGAGCGGGGTGTCACACAGGAAGAAACCTAAGCACCAGAGGGCATAGTCCCTGTGGGCATCTAAACTCTATGTGTGCCTGGGATGACTGCTCATTTCAGTGTCACCTCCCTCAGGGAGGGCTGGAGAAACACCCTAGAAATAGAATAGACATCATTTTGGGAAGAGATTACAACAACACCCGGATGGTTAAGAAAACATGTTCCTCTATAGCAGTGCTTCTCAACCTTCCTAATGTTATGACTCTTTAATAAAGTTCTTCATGGCATGGTGACCCCCAACCAGAAAATTAGTTTTGTTGTTACTTCACAGCTGTAATTTTGCTACTGTTATGAATCTTAATGTAAATATTTGATATGTAGGATATCAGATCTGTAGGGTACCTAAATATTTGAACCCTGTGAAAGGGTTGTTCAACCCCCAGGTTGAGAACCACTACTGAGACTTTAAGAAGTCCAGAGGGCAAGTCAAGGTACCAAAGTCACATCGGATAAGCCCCAATATCCTAGCAACACTCCAGTACCCAGCATCTCTCTGGCCTCCATCTACTTCTACCCGGAATTCTATCATATTCTAGACCTCTTAGCTCCAACATTATCTCCCTCTTAACTATTCTATTTCAAATGGTCACCAAAATACTCTCCCTAAGCCACTAATTTTCTAATATCAATTAGGCCTAAAAGTCCACGAGTGACTAACAGTCAACTCAAGAAAGATGAATGAATTTTTCTTGGCACTAGGTCGTCTTTCACTGTTTGGACTTATCCTGCCAAAGTTCTCTCTCATATCTTGACTTAACTATACTTTCTAAACATACCAGACCTTACTTGCATTCAAGTTTCTCAACTTCAACACTGTGAGGATCTGTGGCCCTAAGTTTCTTCACTACTATTGTTGTTGTCATTACTGTGTGTGTGTGTGTGTGTGCATGTGCGTGTGCGTGTATACATACGTCAGAGGACAACTTAAGGGAATCAGTTTCCTCCTTCCACCATGTGCATCATCAGGTTTGGCAGCAGTGCTTTTACCCAATGAGCTGTCCTCATAGTCCATCCTGTTATTTTTTATTGTTGGGGAAGACTTGTCCAACACAGGGCTATAGCAGGATTTCCTGGCTTCTACCCACTAGATGTCAGTAAACCCACATCCCCCAAAACAACAATCCAAAATGTCTCCGGATAGGGCGACATGGATAAAGATGACCCCCCAGCTGAGAACCTATGGCTTCAAGTCTAGACTTAACATGGGCCAATCAATCTCTTGCTACAAAATAACACCTTTGTTTTCCTTTCATGCCGTCTGTCCATCCTGCAAACTTTTCACTTGGGTGACTTTGGGCAGGAGCCTCAGCTGAGCCATCATCTTTTCTATGCAGGCCTCTGTACTCTAAGTAGGGAGAACTGTCCAAGGGCCCATTCTCTAGGTATCCAAGTACTTAATCTGGTCATAGTCCAACAATGCTATTTATCTCTGTGTGACCTTCCCTAGCACACTGCCTGCTCTGGGTGTTGGCATGCAGGGGCTCTGTCTACTACATGCCATGTTTATCACTATGCATCTAACAATGGAGGTGCTCAAAAAATAGTTATGGATGAAAAGTAAAAAGTAATCCAGGTGTAGTGGTACATGCTTGCAATCCCAGCACTCAAGAGGCAGAGGCAGTAAGATCTCTGGGAATTCTAGGCTAGCCTGGTTTACAAAATGAATTCCAGACCAGCCCAGAGAAATCCTGTCTCGAAAACTAAAAAAATTTAAAAAACCATAGATACTCTATGATAATCATCACAGGCAAGAAAAGCAGACACCCAACCCTGTTCAGTTGGATGCTCTTGGGTGCTGTGTGTAACCTCAGGCTCTATCAGAATCACATCTAGTTTTCATGAGGATATAAAACAGATACAAATGAATGTCAAGAAAGCAAACTCACAGCCTGTAGGTACCGGAAAGACATGATGGGGCCATTTAATGCCCCACAAGCACTGCAATCTTCAAAGTCTCCTTCTTCAAGTAGGAATTGCTGGCCTTTGAAGTGTTCCTTTTCATAGGCAACCCACCTAGAAAGGCAGGAGACTCAAGTGAACCACTGAAAAAACAAGTTAAGAAAGCAAGAGAGAAAAGTACAATGACAAAGGACAAAGCTATTCATCTAGTATTCAAAATGACCTTGTTTGCTTCCACGCATGAAGATGGGCAAATGGTTTGCATCTCACGGTTCAATAATTTTTATAGTGTGAAAGCTTTTCCCAACAAAAGGTTAACTGTAGAATTGCAACAGAGCAAGCTCGTTAAGTGTTTGTGGAATGACTAGTACCATATCTCACCATGGTCAGAGAAAAATTTGCCAAGTAAAAATAATGTAAAATACCACATAGCCAATGAGAAAAGTTTCAAACCCGCACTGAGATCCAAGGAAATGATTTTCATTATACTGACTAAGCCCTTCTGGAACCAAGGAAAGACTATTTTATCAATCATTTACCCAGGGTTTAAGCCAAAGGAACCCTTTAGTCAGCTGCAGATAAAGAAACAATACAGGGAAGGAGGTTTCCCAAGGAGAAACTGGGAAAGACTACTGAGCTGGAATCCTGTATGTGGACTAAAATGTCTGTCTGTAAATACTTATGGGTGGGAAACCTGCATCCTAGCATCTTATCAGTGCTCAGCGTGGAAACAGGAAGCATTCTGCAGAGTACTTTCCAGGGACACACATTTCCTGAGTTCCAGCCTTATAGTATCAGGAGACACAGATAAGCACTTTTAGGCCACTCAGTGAATCTTACCTTTTTATAAAGATTACACCACAGTGCCTAATGCGGTGTGAGCTGTGAACATAGAAGACTCACAAAATGGGCTGCCTATAAAAACTAGCCTTTACCTGCATGATGAAGTAAGGGTGGGGACCTTCCAAATGGATAGTTTGTAAGAGTGACTTATCCTCCAAATGAGGGACTTTCAGATTCAGAAACTTGAAAAAAAATGAAGCCCACAAAGGCTGAATATTATTATTATTATTATTTCTCTACCCCTCTGCAGTAGTGTGTACACACACACACACACACACACACACACACACACACACACACTCCACACAGCACAAAGACCAAGTTGGACACTTTGAGCCATCCTTCCTCTCTCTTTGCCCTTCTGTTTCTAGGTGTAAGCACTGCTGGGGAGTGGATTCCATGGCAAGTGGGATGAGCGGATAAACATTTGGTAAGTTTTAGTTAGCTTGTCATATGGACAGTGCTAACATAATTATGCTCTTGAACTGTAATGTGAAAACCCATTTCCCAGAAAACTTAGCACAGTCTAAGCATTCTTTCATAGTAAGGAAGTTATTTAAAGCCCAGTTTGAACAATATTTGACTGAAAAAATAATGAACAGCACCAATATCTTAATGTTAAAAGATGAATTAAGGTTACTTTATTTCATAACAACATTAAAGAAATTATAAGCCCTGTTTTTCTTAGAGCAAATTTTGATTAAGATTAAAATGTATCTGGGATATTTTAAATGTACATATTATTCAAAAGACACTAAGGTCCTCCCTCCTTCCTTCCCCCCCTCCTCTCCCTCTCTCCCGACGGGGTTTCTCTGTGTAGTCCTGGCTGTCCTGGAACTCACTCTGTTGACCAGGCTGGCCTCAAACTCAGAGATCCACCTTCCTCTGCCTCCTGAGTGCTAGATCTAAAGGCGTGTGCCGCCACCACCGCCCAGCAAGATAGAAAGATCGTCAGTCTTAGTGCCCTCAGATTCCTCAGGGTGGGACAGGGATGAAGAAGGACCAGACTCTCCATGCATAAAGGGAAACAGCTAAAAAGCCCAAGAAATGAGAAAACTGGTGGAAAATAATCACGTTACCTTGTCATTTCTCGACTCTCACATAAAACTCTAAGTCTGTATTCTCTATCACAGGCCATTTGACTTTTTTTTTTTAAGCAATGTAGAAAATAATTCATTGCACTAAATTTTAGCAGCTAACTTTTCTTCTAAGGCAGAAAACTAGTTTTAAATCCACCTAGCTAACGGGGGACAACATTAGGTCTCAGGAGGAGAAAAACAAAAACATTCTATAGCAACATTTTAACAATATGCATGTGTGTCCACAAACCATCCAACATTACAAATGAATATAACATACTAAGAACATGTTTACCCAAACTGTGTCTGTCCTTTAAACAACAAGTAATGCTTTTACTTTAGGGATAAGTAATGAAATTATTACTGGCATACCAAACCAAGTATTGACATGACTTCCTTAGCTAGTGTATTAAGGGTCTTCCTCTATTCTCATTTGACTGGTGTGGCAGTCATTGGTGTGCATCACAAACAACAAACAAAGGACTGGAGGTGACTGTAGACAGCTTCACGCCTACAACTATCTTAAAGGCATCATTTGCGAGAGGGGCATTAACAAGTTATATGATGTTACATCACTGCCTGATACTACAATGAAACTGTGTGAATGAGAATATTTCGGGATCCCAGCATGGGCTTCTCAACAGCCAATCAGCTTTGAGCAAAGTTTCTGCTTGGTGCTTTTTAGTCCCACAGAACACAAAACCCAGAGAGAGGCAAAGACCAGCCTAGTCACAAATTTCCTTGGGCTTTTTTGGGGGGTAATGCTGATCGAGGCTGGGGTGGCAGCAACAACCCCTGCATATCCAGTGGGATTTGGATGGTTTCATCGAAAATGCTTCCGGACACGAGACCACAAATGTCAACACTCTTGACTTTGAGATCACAAGGCTCCCTCTATTACTTTAATGAGATAATTCACTAACAAGGCCCTTAGAACATAAGTTAGTCAACAGAATAGCAGATTAAAAAGCGAGGCCTTCCCCCAAGTTCGTAGTCTGAAAAAAAAAAAAAAAAAAAGAAGAAGAAAGAAAGAAAGAAAGAAAGAAAAAGTAGAAATTCACTTGGTAATTCTTCTATGGTGCTTTAGAAAAGCTAGGTATTGTAATTTTACATTAAATACACAATATAGTTTCTATTTCAAATTCTTTAAAACCAGTAAGTAGGCCCAATTACTACTAAGCTATATATTTTGTGTAATATTTTACAGAAAGGAGATAGGTTTTCAGGTTAAGGTTGGCTGATTTTTGTCTTGTTTAACACATTGTTTGAGCTAATCTTTAAAAGTAGTCTAATAAATCATGTATTGAAAATAGAACACTCACACTCCACCAATGACACGAATTGATCCAATGCCACGGAAGTCCTTATCGATTTTTAAAACCTTAGGGACAGAGTCTACATGTTCACTAAATTCTTTGGTATGTCCACGGAAGTGAGACTTTTCATAAAGGATAACCTGAAAAACATGAAACTGTTATTTAATGTGCTCATATTACCATGAGTACCACACGTGTACCATGGGTAGACTTCAAATTACTTAAGTGGCATTAAAGACCAACCATCAACAGGATGCAAGATCTGCTTTTTAAAATAATTTTACACTATAAACCAGCATCTGATATCCACCCAGTATGTATGAACCAGTATCATCCTTAGGGTCAATCATTTCTTCTCATGTTTCTCTCACATTCATGTACCTGGCGATTGCTACATTTTTCTGTTTGCCCAAATGCTAGGACCACTGTGTATGTTGAACTGCCGTGTAGATGATTCTTGAATTTTCTTTGCATCACTCTTGTGAATTCTCTACAGATCCCCCTCATACCCCTTAAGATGTAGAAACATTTGGAGCTTCCGTGCATAAAACTAAATTACCTACTGAATTCAAAACCCAAATACAGCTTCTTATAACACGGCTGCTTTTTTATAGCTGTTGATATTTGCTGAAAAGGTAGCATGTGAAGTTTTAAATGCAAATGCAGTACACTTCCTGAAACTAGGAAATGACTGGAAACTCAAGTGTTTTGCTAATTGGACATTTCCTTCAAATCTGGAGTGCAGGAGGCAGAGGGACAGCAGGAGAGAGCTGGCAGCACACGGGGCTTCTTTGTACTGTGCTGTTTTCACCTTTCAAGTGCCCTCTAAAGGTATGGCTGCGGTAACTCATCGCTCCACACCTCACCCTTGGTCCTTCCTGTGGCTAATGGGAGAATTTTTATGCAACCAAAAACCAAAGATCTTGGTCGAAAATCCCTAGGCTTAAATATATAAAATTAAACAAAAATTATAACTCATTTACTTCTCTCTCTCTCTCTCTCTCTCTCTCTCTCTCTCTCTCTCTTTCTCTCTCTCCTTTTTTATTTGGTTTTTCAAGACAGGTTTTCTCTGTATAGCTTTGGAGCCTATCCTGACACTCACTCTGTAATCAGGCTGGCCTCGAACTCACAGAGCTCTGCCTGCCTCTGCCTCCCTGAGTGCTGGGATTAAAGGCGTGCACCACCAATGCCCCGCTCAAAAATTATAACTCACTTCTAAAAAAAAAAAAGAAACAACAACAAAACTTGTAACATTGTAGACTGAAAGAATATGTTAATAGTGATCTTGATTCTGCACACTAACTTTTCTTAGGAAGCTATATAATAATCCCACATATGTAACAGAGTTAAGATATATAAATATTATATTATACATACAATAAAGTTTTATTCAGGCATAGTACTTGCTGCATGTGATGATATTCAAGCTAAGTAAAAAGCAGTAATCATAAAGCAGCTCTCAGGACATCATCAGTGTTAATTAATTCCTGTTGGGCAAGTTGTGATTCCTTATGAAACATCAATCTGCTCATAGAGGCCTACAACCTGTCCCAGTGCAGATGCCCTAGAACAGCTCAGCCTTTCACACATCGCCCTGTGATTCACCACCCTTCCTTTACAAGCTGCAGCAGGAGTCACACGGAGAGTGTCACGGGGACTTCTGCCCTCATTAGTCACATCAGCACTTTGCAACCTTTTGCTGCATTTTTAGTCACCTGGGAAACTTGGCAACCTTTTGCCCTCCTTCAAAATCAGAACAGTATACCTGAGGATGGAGACTAGGCTGATGGATTCCTAAAATTCAGAAGATCCCAGGGTGCAGTCAGGGTGCACAAGATGCACTGAGACACTGTGAGCTCTCAAAGGCTCCATCCGTGTGACTGAGAAAATGGCAGTCGATTCTCTAACTTGTGATGTGGAGAAAAGGAGGAGACTGGCAGCCCTGGATCCTACTCTGTGAGAATCGAGGAGGGCTGGAGATCTGGTTGGAGAGGCTATTCCTACCTTTGAAGGCGGTTTGCATTTTGACCACTGGACAGATTTTCTTCCCACCTTCCCTCACACATATTTGTAACTCTTTCTCCCTCACATAATGTGCTTGATCCTATCACTTCTACCACCCAGTTGTCACAGCCGCTATGCTCCCGGTCAGGCACTCAAACTTGCAAGCTGACATCCATCCAACAGGAGCTGGCTGTGTGTCTGCACTCACCTCTTTTGCAGCATCATTCTCAAATCACACAGAGGAGTTCACTTGAAGTCACGTGAGTACCCAGATTCCATCTCAACGCCTCCATCACCAAACAAAAAACAAACCCGCCACCTTCCTTCTGACAGTGGACACTGGGCGGGTCTGTGGGAGGTGACAGCACAGACCTCCATTTCTGCACACTTTCTACACTCCCCATTCACAGTCACAGCACGAGTCCTCAGAAAACCTTCTACACAGTCACTAACAAGTACTGCAGTCTCCACTCATTGGGTAGTGCAGAGTCACATAAACTGTCATATAGCAAAATACTTAAAGAGCCAGCCAACCTTTTGAGCCAGCCTACAGTTCAAGACTTACCTTTAAGTTCATAGGCATTTCCACTTTCAGTCCGCCCTACAGACAAGATATTTAAAGACAATGTAAATACATAAAAAAGGGGGGAAGTAACAAAGTTATGTGTAGGTTACAAAAATCTCATTAGCTACGACAATGCAGCAGTCAAACTGAACTATGGTAAATTCAGAACCCTACAGTAATCAAAACCAAGTCAGACTGATCTACAACAGATACGGGCTAGAAATTTTTTGAAAGCTTTCAGATCAGAACTCAAGGATCTTTAAACAAACACAAACAACTACAGATGTAATTGCAGCTTAGAGTTTCCTAAACAGAAGAGGGGAACTGCTAACAGCTTCAGAAGATACTCTTGGCAGAGCAGATTTCTAAGCCCTGTATCCAAGCGCATCCCCTAGAACCACTTAGGTTTTCTAAATTAGGCCACTGCACCATCTCTACACCTCCTCCCCCCAGTTCCACCACACAGCTGATCATACCTAATGCCCTTGTAACAGCAAGACAGAAATAGCGGTCATTCTCAAAGCCCTGACTGCATCATGTTATGTGTTAAAATGCTATTCTGCATTGTCATGTTTCTTCAAATTTCCGCATTTGTCCGTGGTTCTGTTTTCCGAGGCATAGAACCAAGCATGTTCTAGCACACAGCCTACACTTAAAACAGTTTGCACCTCAAATATAAATAAGTAAGTTTGCCACAGAGATGCTGCAGGCAGTTATTTAATTTTTATGATGGTAAACACTGAAAGAGCGACCAATTTATTATTAATGCTGAGTTTACTATCTGTTGTTAAACTGGAAGAGACAATATTCTACAACTAATTTTCTAACGAGCATCCACAAGACAGACTTTGGATTTTATGAAATATTTAAAATTGCATGGAATACTTAATTTTCAAAAACTGTATGTATTGTGATAAGCTTGCCACGGTTCAAAGTAAAGGCAAACATCCTGCATAGTGTGAGAAGAAACACAATGTACAGTGTGTCAATTCAGTGGTGTACGTATTCATGTCCTGAGACCGAGGGCTCTCAGCAGTGACAATGTTTGATCTGCACATGTGGGTGCTGGAGAAGAGAGCCTCCGGTTGTATGTGCTTACCATTTGGAGAGGATGCAGTGATTTCATTTCTGCTGCAGAAATCTCAAAGAGCCCCTGGTCTTCCTCCAATATGGTAGCTTGCCCCTTAAAATTAATTTCTGGGTAGGCCAGCCAACTAGACAAGGTACAAATGGTTGGTTAAAGCATGATGATACTTCAGTTTGGCTCTATAGGAGGAAAAGGGGCTATCAAAATCTTCCATGATAGAATTACACTAATAAAATATACCAAGGTAATTAGCATACAATGAACAAGGCTAACATGTTCTTAAGTATTCACATTCATGTACTCTCTACCTTACGGCTTGTTTCTGTGTACTGGGTATTAATTTCTGGCCTAGAATTTTCTAACACCTAAAACATGTGGCATCTTTAATGCAAGCAGAGTCTAAGTTAGAAATCAATACTAAAGAGCAAATTTGTTTGCCAGTTAGCACCCCAGGATAGATCACTCATCAACAAGGTGAGAATGACCCACCTTTGCCTTTCAGGAACAGGGAAGGAAAACACAAATGTGCCTGGTACTGAGGGAGGATCAACAATTGACCCAAGCTAGGCATCATTTAGGGTCCAAATTTTTAGGTCAGAGACATGTTTTTATTTCCCAGTCCCAAACTGTATTACATTAAAAAAAAAAAAAAAAAAAAAAAAAAAAAAAAAAAAAAAACACACAACACTATCCATCTATCAAGAAGGCTGGAGATTCTGTACTCACTCTTGGGAGTCATACATCAAAACCTTAATTGGATCCAAAGAAGGACAGACCCATCTGTTTTAAAACAGGGAGTAGCCTTTCTTAGGTATCCGGAAGCATAAACAACACTAACTAAAACTTTAGAAACCGTATGTCATCTACTGAAACATGAAGCAAAACAGTAAACTTTGGGGGCCATTAATCACTGCAATTAAGAAGAGCTGACACATACACTCCTGATTTTACAGTGTAGGATGCAGACTTGGGGATGTTCAGTTCTTCCAGGTTGCGCACAGCTCGATGTATGTAGACCGGGCAGCACCCAGGGTCAGACTGTGGGCACAGCTCTATCTCTGGAACAATGCAATCCTGGAAAAGAAAAATTGCCTTTGAAATCATCTGGAGACACACAGGCTAGTGTTCCAAACACCCTGGACACATGGTAACAATGACTTCAGTGTGCACTGGGACTTCTCCATCAAACAACACAAGGGTGTTCCTTAAGCAAATTTTTAAACAAAGTTTTTCTCAGGAGTCATATGAATGTTGCTGGAAAAATTACTGTCAACTTTTCTTTTCTGTTTTTCTCTGCTTCGCTTTTTAAAACACTTGTCCTATTAAGAATGGCTCAGTTATTAAAGGGTTTGAGTGCCAAAGTTCTGCAAGTCTTCCTTCTCAGGAGCATAACAAAGCCTGAAGGGAGGAAGGGACTTAAATAAAAGCTGATCTCCTGGGGGACATAAAAAATAAATAAGGGGAGGCACTGCCCCTCCCGGTGTGTTTATCTAATTTACATCAACAAAGGAGAAGGAACTAGAGGTGAGGGGAGAGGAAATGTGTTTTCCCACTTGTGGAGCTCTTATTTTTTCAGGACAAGTTGGCTTGATGATAAAAGGTGTTATGCAATCTGACTCTATCCCCGCCTTTAAAAATGAGCCACCCACTGCCATGCCTTCCTCTAAAATTGCACTCGCCATGCTCTTTTTAATCTGTTCCCGCTTCTGCTGCAAACGGCAATAATAACTAGCTCACAACAAAGAATCAGGTGACAGAACCTTTAAACCCCCAACCTCTAAGAGAAGACTGCTTGCTCTGTAACACTCCCTGGGTCAATACACAGATTGTGTTTGGGCTTTGGTTTTGTACAGGGTCAAGAGCCATACTCTGCAGAGCTCTACAGACACACCCCCACATTGGCCTCTGGAAGTTTTATACATTCTGGTCATAATGCACCTCAAGAGACAGCCCTATTTACTAAGGGAAATCTCTTATAATCTCTGATATTCTCTTGAATGACAGTTTAAAAAAAAAGGATCATTTCTTAAGGAATTAGAATCACAATCATTTCTCCCTTTTCCAAAACTATATACACCATTCTGCCCAAACAAACAACCCCAGATACTCGAGTGCTTAAGTCATAAAAGTCAAGTTTCAGTAACATAATTCTCACCTCTAACATCTGAAATACAAGTAAAATGAGTACATGCAATAATCATCATTGACGCCACTAACTGCAGGCTGGACAACTTCCTTTTAGAGGTTTTGCTATTTTAAATTTTTTAAACATTCCACATACTGAGTTCTCAATCACTCTCATTAATAAATGAAATAATTTAAGAATCAACTAGAATATGCTATGTTAGAGAATTAGGGACCCATCAGATTGTATTATTCAAAATGTGTTACCACAATTGTCTTTCCAAAAATGACACAATTTAAGTAAAGAGGATTCTCACTATAAACAGACTATTAAAGTGCTAACAGGGGATGTTTATCATGCATGATTATGACATATAAACTGGGGACATTTCTCTTTCAGTAATACATCTGAAAGCAAGTAAATGTACACATCTCCTTTTCAGAAATAAGCTCTAAGTTGCATTAAAAGTAAAGCAGCACAATTTAAGTGGCCTTTAAAATAGAAAAGTCCACCTACATCTGGAGTTTCACTTCACAATTAGCCAGAAACACCCAGAACAGTCACCTGTCAATCTTCCAGGGTCTGTGGTGTGCTGTTGATAACAGAGAGCTGCTAATGCTACTTCAAATGCTGCTGTCTTAATGGTCCCCTGGGGAGCAGAGGTACAGTCTCGGAATACATAACTAAATGTCTCACACAAACAAGTTTCCTCTGCATTGTGTTACCCAAACAATGTCTGGGTGGTGGACTTTAAAAGGGAAAAGGCTAAGAAGCATTCATGTCTACAGTAACACAGAAGGAAACAGCAAAGCAGCCAAAGCATAAGGCTCAAGAGAAAGATGAAAACAGACGTGAGGAGCTTTTCAAGCTCCAATACAAGTCCAAGTTTCACTTGCGGTGATTCAAATAGTTTTCATTAAGCTGTCTTTGGGGTGAGTATTCACAAAAATAGCGTCTTTTCAAGACTCTGTATAATTACTGATGGGCAAAGGCAGGCAAACTCTTACAACTAGATGTGCCTTTATGGTAACTTAGCAACGATAAACAGATGACTCAAAGTGTGCAGACTTCATTCAACACTTTTCTACTAATGCCACATTTTGCAAATGTATCTCGGTGAAGACTCATAATAATTAATATTCGTAAATCAAGGTTATGGGGAGAAACCGTAAGAATGAATTATAGTTAACAAAAGGGTAAACAAAATAATAATTAGTTTTTCTTTATCTTACACAAGATGTCTTCAGTCTAATCTAACAATGATCACTCTCCATGGTCCATTAATGTCAGCTTTAACACAAGTGATTTCTGGTCAAAATGAAAAGATCATACTTTTGAAATGAATGTACAATGCAAGGAAACTTACAAAATCTGGCTCTGCTATCAGAAAAGACTACACTGGAGTCACCGCACTGTCATGCCCTACCCTAATCATTTTCGTTGGCTGCAAGCAATGACCTTAAATAGAATCAATGCATGCTGAACGCTGAAGGTGCCTGCTGCATTTGTTCACAATCAAGTGAAGACATCATTAAATCAGGACCTTAAGGTCAGAGGAGAGCAACTGAAATCTGATGAAACAAGACAACATTGGACAAGACAAGTCTAGGCAGGGCAAATGCCACCAGGAGAAAGAAGGTTAACCCTATGTTGAGCTCTGTCACAGCTGGAGAAGAAGGAGAACCATGCCTGAGTTTTACTTTCTAAAGTATTTATGCATTTTCTGCTTGAGGCTTCAGAGTTTGATTTTCCTCCAATACTAAAAGTTGGTCTGTTGAAGATGTGACTGACCAAACTACAACCAAAAAAAGAATGATTCACTGAACAAACAAAAGTGACACAAAAAAATGAGAGCACACCTCACTTTTTTCTTAAAATATGTTCTAAGCAAAGGGCCATGTGTGAATATGCATTTAAATTTCTATGCTCAGCAGATTAAATTGGTTTGATCGAATGCTCTTGTTTGATTTAGTAGAGTTGTAAGAGTAGCTGGTTGCCAAATCATCTTCACTATTTTACCCCACTAGGCTTGGCCTGGTGCTACTTGACAGTCACAAGGATGTCACAGAACCGCAAGCTACGCAAATCCTAAACGATTCCCACTACACACTAATGATTCATTTCAGAAAATTTGTACTAAGTTAGATAATTAAATAACCTCTTAAATTGGCTTTGCAAACACTGTCACAGTTAGTTCCCCAAATGAAAGAAGACACTGTCTTCTCTGCCTTGTTCATCTTTCTGCAGTGCCATGGAACATGGATGCTCACCACCTTGTTTGACCAAAGAGGCTCTGCCAAGACTCACTTGTCTGCCATGCTAATTCTTCTTTACCTGTTCAAGATGCTAACTCAGATACCACCTTACTCAGGTGAGGGGCCTTTTCTCTGTGTGTCCAAGGGGTTCCCTAGAAGTTACTTCCCAAGTCAAATTCTTCTCCAGACTTCAAGCAACCCAAGATAAGGCTCAAAGCCTGCAACGTATCTATTCCCACTGCCCAATACAGCCAATCAGGCCCATGAGCAGGCACAGGTACTTCCTTCCACTCCAACTCCTCTTGTGCTCAGCCTCCCAAATTCATGACCTTATTCTCTTCATGACTATTGTTATGCGCACACACACAGTCCCACCCCCATATGTACCCACAGCCCCTCCACACACAGACACACAGAAACACACACACACACACACACACACACACACACACCCTCCGTATCTATGGTCACCACACTACTTACTACACTGATTCATGTCTTACATGTTGAGGATGTGGAGAGGAGATCCTGTTCTTACCCGAGGTCTGCCCTTATCAATAATCCTGCCTCCTGTAAGCCACGGCAGAGGCTTGTTGTGGGATATTACTTTAACTATGTGAGATGTGTCACATTTGTGTATGTTGTGGAATATTACTTTAAGTAGATAAAGGTGTTACATTTGTTTATGCTGCACTTGTTTAATGATGTAAAGATGTGTTTGTTGCCTTGCCTGTGGAAGACACCTAATTGGTCTAGTAAAAAGAGGAATGGCCAACAGCTAGGCAGAGGAGGGATAGGCATGGCTGGAGGGCAGACAGAATAAGTAGGAGGGTGAATCTAGGCTTTAGAGGAGAGAGAATGAGGGAGAAAGAGGGAGATGCCCAGGGAGCATCAGCTAGCCAGCCAGCCACGGAGTAGGACATACAGAATTAAAGAAAGGTAAAAAGTCCTGAGGCAAAAAACAGATGAAGAGAAACAGGTTAAATTAAGTTATAAGAGCCAGTGGGACTAGCATAAGACAAGGCTGAGCATTTGTAACTAATAATCAGTCTCTGTGTCTTTATTTGGGAGCTGGCTAGCATACTAAAAGAAAGCCTGCTACAGAGGCTCTCTTACAATGTCTGTGCTAGAAGACCTCACTCATCTTAAATAACTTTCTAACAGAAGATTCAACAGCAACACTTCAACTCCGTCTCTCAATTTCTTCTTCTCTAACATGTCCGAGCACATTCACATATATACACACTTGCCCACACACAGGCAAACACACATGTAACACAGTCATACTGAGTAGCAGTATTTAAGTTAGAAAAAGATTTGGAACTACCTTTTCCTTAAAGATTCCTACAGTGTTTATACTTAGCATTATATCTGTGAGATATACAGAGATATATACATTTTTAGTTATCATCTTAAATTATTAAATTTTATAAATTTGGTTTAAGTTATTTGCTTAAACACTTGATATGCATAAATTTAAATACAAAAATGAGTACACTAGCAACTACTTCTTAGCTCTGTTAGGTCACAGGACAACTTTAGCACTTGATAAAATCAAAATAAAAACAGTAGAAAATGAGCAGCTCCATTACCTTTAAGACACGTTTGATGGAGCCCATTACAAAGTTTCGTTCTGGGTGCTTCTTGTTCTGATGAAGCCAGTCCCGATTTAACACCTTCTCCCCTTCTTCCAACACGCATTTCTGACCTTGGAAATGGGGCTTCTCATATAAAATCCAGCTGAGCAAACAGAAGCACAAGGGGCTGATGAATCAGCCTCTCTAAGAGAGAGGGTACTGAGAAGGTCACAGATTGCTATATGCATTTTGTAAAGCTAGGTTAGCTCCTGCCATTAGCATAGAAGGTTCCTTTTGAAATAATACTACAAAGTAATTTAAGTGTAAAAAATATCTGTAAAAATTAGAAATAAAAATCCTGAAAACAGAGCTGGGCATTGGTGACGCATGCCTTTAATCCCAGCACTCAGGAGGCAGAGGCAGGTGGATCTCTGTGAGTTCGAGGCCAGTCTGGTCTCCAGAGCGAGTGCCAGAATAGGTTCCAAAGCTACACAGAGAAACCCTGTCTTGAAAAACAAAAACAAAAAACAAACAAAAAACAAACAAACAAACAAAAATCCTGAAAACGGGATGGGGGTGGAGACATGGCTCAGCAGTTAAGGGCACTGGCTGCTTGCAGAGGACCTGGCCTCGGTTCCCAGGACCCACATGATGGGTGACAATCATATATAATCCCAGTAGCACCCTCCCCTGACCTCCACAGGCACTGGACATGTATGTGGTGCACCTACATACATGTAGGCAAAGCACTCTTACATATGAAATGAAAAATATTAAATAAAATTTAAAACACTAAACACTATCACAATAGAGCCTGAATTACATTTATGCACAAATATATTTTAAAATGTGACATACATAAAACCTTACATTTATATAAAATAACTTAAGGACTCCAAGTTCCATTTCTGTCTTAATTTTTTTTTTTTTTTTTTTACCACTGGGTACTACAAACATAAATCCATTTTCTTTCATGAAGACAACACTACACCACATTGTTTACAGTCCATAGACTGGCCAGGGCTAACCTAAACACTAGACACGGAAACTCTGGCTCCACTATGTCCACAGGGCAGTGTCCATAATAACAAAGGAGGGTTTCCCTCATTTTTAGACCACACTACGAATTCCTGAGTTGTTGAGCATGTCAACTCTACAAATAACTCCATGTGGCCTTCACATTCCATAACTTCCCACAACTCTGAACTCATTTTTTCAAAGCCATGCTTCATTCAATTTGACTTGCAAATCTATTTAGATAATACTGCAATTGTAAAATGACATTGATGGTATACATTAGGTCTTGCAATCCACTGCAGGCATTAAACACTAAAAACAGTCTACATGGTATGTCATAGTAAATAAAAGGAGTAAGTTATAAAACACTAATAATGCTTCAAGTATCCTAGTAAAGTGAGGAAAGAGAATATGACTTTAATAAAAACTACAAAGAACATACTTGTAAGAAGTCATGGCTATTTTTAAATAATAAGTTGCAACATTTCAAAAATGGTTCTTACCAGCCCCTTACAACTTTTATCAGTGCCCCATTTGGGAAAGACCATGTTGTAGCATCAGGAACATTACCGTAGACCTCTTGTTTATATTTACTTCCATGGAGATCATAGATTATCATCTGTAACACATAGTAAAGTAGGTGGGCATAATGACTAATTTTAAGAATGCACAGAAATGTTGGAAATGTCCTAGAACATAAACAATAAAATTCCCTGCATGAGTACAGCAAATGTTTGAAGTAATTGCTGGAGTTCTTAAATCCTTAAGTTTAGAAAAAAATTTAAAAACCCCCACTAAGTCAGTCTTCAATTCCACAAGCCAGAAAGTAACCAAAGTTTCAGCCCACAAGAGAACAAATATGCTTACCTTCCCCGGCCTTGGATTACACCTCAGAGCTTGTATGTCAACATTCTGAAAAGTAAAAGTGGAAGAACTAAGACATAACTGGGAAAAATATATATATATATACATATATACACACACTGAGTCACATTCTTCACAGTTCTAAACCCAATTTGTCACACACTTATTAGATAAGCGTGGCATGTATACATGCTTCAATAGACTAGAGAAACTGTAAATATAGAAGGAAATAACATAATGTTCCTGCCTTTGAGAACGTCACAGCTGGGAAGGAACAAATAGATGATCATGCTGTGGTAACAGTTTAAAACATGGACATGGCACCAGCAAAGGGGGGGTGGGGGGAAGGCTGAAGGCTAGCAAGGCTCAGAAAGGACTTCTTGAAATGAGTCGATTTTAAAGAGTGAAAAACTGGGGTAATTAACAGTGGAGGGGTTTCCAGGAAGAAACCGCCTTGGCAGTTCCTTAGGGTGGAAGCATGGAAAAAAAGACAGGAGTGGGGAGACAAAGCTGAAAACACAAGAGCCCCTATAGACTGTGCCAGTGAAGAGGGGGTGCTGTACTTCATTAGCAGTGGGCACCAGAAAACCATCATGTCATCTAATACCATCGTTTATTTTAAGATCATCTTGGCTTTTAAGGTAACTGCTCAGTATTCAACAACTACTAAGTTACTGAGGAGGTTCAAGGTCAAGATACAGGCCTTGAGGATTCTCTCTAGAAAGTTCCATGATATTGGCAATGCCAACAAAGAAAGCTCCATGTTCAAAGAATATTCCATGTTAGACACATGTTTCTAAGCCAAGGAAAACCATTAATTGACTTTGAAAGCATTTTTCCAGCTATAATATGGCTTTTTATTTGGTTTTCCCCGTTAGGCTGCTTAGTACCTGCTTTGTGGGAAACACCTCACCAAAGGGGGCGTGGCTAAGCAACAAGGTAAAAAGGTTATGGAACAGAAATTTTCATTACATATAAATAAATACACTAAATGGGAAGTAGGAACTTTACTATACAAAGTAACTTGAGGAATTCAGAAAATTACCACTTCATTTTACACTGAAATATTAGCCAAAGACTCGAAATCACTATAATAGGGCCTTTACATTGTAAGCAATTTTGACACAGGGTCCCAACTAAATTGCCAGGCTAGCCTAGAACTTGCAATTGTGTTGTCTTATCCTCCCTCAAGACTCCAGGCCTCCACTACTGTGCTCATCCCAACATAGAGGTTTTCTTTATAATCCTGCAGATAGTCTCACTACCGAGAGTTCTACTTCACTATTTAAAAAAAAAAAATCACAGTAACTTACCTCTATATACGGACTCAGTCTGCTTGCCTGGTCTTGGACGCGGAAGTATTTGGACACTGGTTCCTGAAAGGTGCTAACAAATCTGGTTCCCGTTTCCAAGGAATGTGTCCTGGAAGTCTGCAAGTACTGATGGTAGGCACTTTTCAGGGAGGAGTGCAACTTAGATGTGAGATCCGATTTCTGCAGAAGTGACACCTTCTCTGGCCACAGACCGAGCTGCAGATTGGAGGTCGTTGGTTCACTGCACTCCTCATAGGGCTTGGAGATTCCAGCACTTTCCTGTTCATCGTCAGGATAAAAGGTGATGGAAGGATCTGCCAAGTGGAAGGTGACACGCTCCCTCCTTTCAACTCTCAACCCTTTCCCCGAAGCTGCTGCTGCTTCCTCATCCTCATCCTCGGCCACTTGTCTGTCATCTCCATCAAAGTTTCTCTGTAAGCGTTCTGACACCGACTGCAGGAGGGAAAGGACAGACGAAGGCTGGTTTGCACTCTCCCTTGATTTCGTGGAGCCATGGTGACCAGGAGAGACCTCGCTGGATAGGACGTCCTCCTGTGAGCTGTCATCCTCATAAATGGGACTCAGGGCTAAGGGATAAATTTTGTACCTTTTGGCTTCCACTGACAAGAACATTTCTGAATTGTCTCCATCGAAGGCCTCACCCAGTTTACCTTCTTTTTCAAAGTGATGGACCAGGTCAGTTCTGCTCTCAGACCTTTCACATGCTAGGCCAGGCATGCTGCTAGAGGAGGTGTCAGGGAACACAACAGAGCGTGTTTCTCTTAGTTCTGTGCCAGCGTACTTGTCCTCCTCCTGAAGGGGCTCCTCGTACAAGATGGTAAAGGACAAGTTTTCTGGTTCATCCTGAGAGATAAAGGCTAAATTTGTCTCTTCCTTTTCGTCACTATAATCCACATCTCTCTCCTTGCTGCATACTGTAGTAACAGACTTTATTTGGTGGAACCCTACTCCTGTGTCCTCCTCTTGAAAATCTGGAATTGCCAAGGCTGGGTAGCCCTCGTAATCCTTACTTAATGTAGGTGATTCATATCCCCGGAAATGTGAAGCAAGTCTGTCATCGTGTAGTATTAGTCCTTCCTTTCTCTCGCTAGGCTGCTCTTCCGTTTCTTCACCACTCTTCTCCATGTACTCTTGAGGACCTTTTTCACTCTCCAAGGCAGCAAGCATGACCTCCATGGGTGTCATGGTCACCTCTGCTGTTGTTCCATTGAATTTCTCGACGGCTACCTCTGGAAGTGACACTTCAGGGTTCTCAATACAGCCACTAGAACCTTCTGGAGCTGTTACTTCCATTTCTATTTTAGAAGGCACACGCTCAGTTGTTCCATTGGACTGTTCAAGATCTCTCTGGACTCTTTCCCCCAAAATATCCACGGAAGAATGCATTGCCCTGAGGTGCGTGTCTTTCATGTCCAACACAAATGCAACACTTTCAGCCTTTCTAAGGTCATCTTCAGCATCCGTTTGGTAAGTACTTTCCATCTCCAACACAGGTCTGTCTGTCGTTCCACTGAGCCTGTCAGTGTCTTTGCTGTAAATATTTCCCCCTTCTAACAGAATGAGCGTCCCTTCAGCTCGGTCAGCATCCCCTTCAGCGTCGCTGGGGCAAATGTCTCCCGTTTCTAACTCCACAGGTGCCACACCCACCACGTCAGTCTTTGCAACATCACTTTCTTCGTCCTTTTGGTACGTGTCTTCTGTTCCTAATGCAACACTCGTCACTTCCTCCTTGGAAGGAATCCCTTCGCCATCTTTTTGGTAGATAGTTTCCACTTCTGACATAACGGCTGCAACCCCTGTGCTTCCAACATCCCCTACAGCATGCTTCTGGTAAATATTTCCCATCTCCATTGAAACAGGTGTCACCTCAGTCTTTACAATGTCACCCTCAGCATCTTTTTGATGGGTAGTTTTCATTTCTGACACAGCAGGCATCACCTCAGGTTTGCCAGTGTCTCCTTCTCTATCCATCTTATGTGCTTTTTCCATTCCCAAAGTGGCAGGTAATTCCTCGGGTTTTTCAACATGTACCTGAGCATCCATTTGGTATACACCTCCCCTTGTAAGAATGCCAGCCTCTGGCTCAGCTTTTGTAGTGTTCAATTCAGCATCCTTTTTGCATGCTTTTTCTTTATGTGACATAAGAGGGGCTGCTTCATGTTTCATAATATTCAATTCAGCATCCCTTTTACTGATGTTTCCCATTTCTAACATGGAAGGTATAAGCGCGATTTTCCCTGCACTTACTTCATTATCCTTTTTGTGTGCTTTCCCCAAGTCTGCCATTGCAAGGGGTGTGCTTTTACTATGTCCTGACAAACTTTTTTCAGATACGCACACAAGACTGTCAGACAAACTGCTTTTGGAGGTGCCAGGCATATGGGTATCATCACTTGCAAATAGAGGCAAGTTGAAACTTAATGCAAGAGTTCTAGCATCTCTTGTTGCCATTTTGTGATTATCCACACACTCTGTTTCTGCTGCCCTTTTACAGTACTCACTGACAAATAAGTGTGGCTTCGCTCCATCATCTAACCTTGTATGGAGCAAGTCTTCAGCTCGTGAAACAGTCTCTGATTTCTGCAAATTTATAATATCAGACTGTCCAGCTCCACTTCTAAAACTTGGGGGCTGCTGATAGGCAACGATCTCTCTTCCTTTAATTGACTTGGTGCTACTAACTAAGTCACTTATGGAGGAGGAAGAGAATTTGCCTGATATTTTATTGTCACTAATTTCACACGTGCTTTGATTTACTGCCTGTTCTGATACCAAGAACTCCCTAACTATGTCATGTGGTTTAATGCCACCACTGTTCAGAATCTCTGCAGTGTTAGCCTGAGGTTCAGAAGCCCAGGTATTTTCAATATCACTTGTCAAATTTTCTTGGACTGCAAAAATAACCTCATTGACTAATTCTGTGGTCTGGTCTTCTAACAAGGAAGAAAAATTCACTCTATCAAAATCTAAAAGGAGACTTGTCTCACCAACTGCAGGTGAAACACTGTCCTTCTCTTCTTCTTGGACTTCTGACATATTTTCCACACTCTTCTCATCCACGTGCTCTTCTGGTTGGATCCCCGTTAACGCCACTTCTGATGGGATATCTTCTTTCACAGTACCTGGATTCATTACATAGTCTTTTGCTGGATGCTCCTGGCAGGTACCAACTGTGTGCTTGGATTTCAGTTCTTCCCTGACAGAACTGAAAATCTCCTCAAGCAATCTATCAGCTTTTGAGAGTAAACCACTTTTGAGTAAAAGTTGGTCATGTGCTCTTCTCCTTGCTTCTGTCTGAAGATCAGCAGATGCTTCAGAACACTGCTGGCATGAGCTGTTAACTGACACTGGTGCCCCAGCAACTGTTCCTGTCTCTGCCTTCATGGGATTGTCAAAGCAGGCAGTAGTTGGGAAAGCAAGAGATACCTTCTCAGTCTGACTCCCTAAACATCCGTGACATGGAGTCACCTCTGCCCCTTTTGGACTAGGCGTCTCTAATTCCAAGTAGGCACTTTTATGGCCCAGCCGGTCAGTAACAGAAGCACCTTCACACGTGAGGTTTACAGTAACTTTTAAGGAGTCAAAATGACTTGGGAGAGCATGTGGATTTACAGCTGCTGTGCTGTATTCTTTCGAGTGACAAGAGGAAGAAGATGCAGCACCAGGACCAGCACGCAGGAAATTAGCGTTTTCTCTGTGTGAGGAGGCTTCCCCTTCTGGTCCCAGCAGAGAAGGCACACTGAGTGAGCTACCGTCCTCAGATGTAAACACGCTTTTCTCCAAACAGGCATCAGAACCCAGAAAAGATGAATATACTTGCGTGCTGTCGGTTTCTTGGAACTTTGGAGAAATATTATCTGAACTCGGTTCTTCCATTTCAGAGATACTAGAACTCTTTCGAGTCCTACAAATAGCCAAAGATGGGCTGATTACGCACATGCTAGCTTTACAATTCTGTGCCATGTGCCCCGTGGATTCCTCCTCTGGACCAAGAGGTACAATCCCAGGCTGACTGCTTTTGAGAAGAGAAGCAGGGTTATCTTGGGTGTCTACCTCTGATTCTTGTACACTGTGATATTGAGAGGCACAAGACACCCCAACCCGGTGATTCTTTTCAAAGCCACCACCTAAACACATCTCTTTCATCTCTTTGTGATCCATCGATTGACCATTTTTGTCCTTTTCAATCTCTAGAGAATTTAATTCTGATAAAACAGTCTTAGTTAGCTTGCCTGCAACTGTTAACTGAGAAAAAGCAAGTTTGTTCTGAGAAATGTCTCTGGGTTCTGCTTGAGAAACAGGCAACTTGGACAAGGCTTTTCCTTTACCAGAATTCAATGCAATGGGGAAGCTGCTCTGAGCGTCAGCCTCTACTTGGAGTAACATCTTAGCAGTTTGGGTTTCCAAGGAAAGAGAATCAGACTTCTCTGAGGTGCTACTTGCCTTAGTGCTTGAGGACTCTGCTTTCTTACAGCCATGAGATGGAACAGACTTGTGGTCCTCAGAGATCCCTCCATGCTCCAAGTCCGATAGATCCACCCCAGCTAAGTGAGTGCCAATGGTTCCAGGACCTAAAGGAAACCGGCATCTATCAGGAACAGTCTCCTTGGCCTCGGTGATTACTGATGCATGTCCAAGGCAAAGAGCATGAGTCTCCCTGTCTGCGGCCTCAGAATGGTTCCCCACATCTTGACACTCACTAAGGGAGTGAATGTTGCCCTGTCCAGTTTTACTGGACAGAGCTCTCTCCCTCCTTAAACCAGGGAAATCCAACTTGCAGAGCATGTCCATCTCAGAAACAAAGGTGGGGGGCGAGGTCCTGCAATCTGCAGTTTTGCAGTCAAGGTTAGGAGCTGTCTTGGCATCAGGGAAAACTTTGGCTTTTTGTGGATTCTCTATGTGAAGAGGCGAGTCTGAAGTAGGATTTCTATTAGGTTCAAAATTCACGTTAGGTGCAGTCTCACTTTCTAGTTTTGCTACGACTGCTGAGTCACTGGAGTATTTTACAGAACCAGGGTCCTCCTGATTTTTTCCCCCACTGTGAGTTTTGACATGCAGCACCAAACCAAGCCTTTTGGTTTCTGTTTCACACAGTGGCTCAGTGTCTTTGGGTAAGGACTCAAATTTGTCTTCTGGGGCTCTTATATTACTTAAAGTTGTAGGCTCAACCCCTGAGGCGCCTACTGCTTCTAGCATGATTTCTGAAACCACATTTTTCTGTGAGTCTTGGGCAGGTAACTTCTTTCCTTCATTAACAAGTTTTGAGTCTGTCACAGCATGTCCCTGGAGAGCAGTAATGCTGGTGTGACTGACATTCCGCCTTGATGGGTTATCTGCAGCTGGCTTGTCACAACACTTACTCTCTGGCAACAGTGTATCTTCATGCCTAATTGATTTATTTGGACTTGACAAATTTGTACTTTCCACTTTGGTACTGTCACTCCCATCAGATTTACCACAGAAATCAGAAACAGCAGGTCTCTGGGGCCCAACGTGTCCCTCTCTTGACATTGACATGCCATCACTTATCATGGAGCTGGTTTCTCTCAACGTATTTTCTGTTGCAGTTTCTCTCTGAAATTCTGGACAAGGGACTTGGCTACTTTTACTTCCTCCAAACAATGATGAACAAACCAAACTACTCTCAGTCTGTGAGTCAGATTTCCCAACAACATAGCTGGGGTTAGACACAGAAGAAGGGGAGGCACAACTTCTCCTAGAGCCTCCATAGCTATTTTTATCTACAACAGTCTTAGATGAGGCAATGTTCTGCAATTCTGGGTTATTTTCCAGATGGCTTTCCATGTTGAGATTTATTTGGCTATAGCCAGAGACTTCTAAGGGACCTCCAAGCAAACATCCTTTTGTGGCTACCTCTTTGCTGGCTGATGACAATGGGGCCATCACAGTGTCCATTATACTTCTAGAGCCAATGTGTGTGTGTGTACTTGAGTCAGAGCTTTCATCTTCTCTGTCTAAGTGATTCACGGTTTCCAACACAGTCTGTTGCTTCAAATACTTCCTGATATGTGTGGGGCCTCGATATGTTGCATATGTTACTGAAGGCTTCTCTGCTTTACCAACAGTGTCTTTTCTGTGAAAAAGAGGCAGCATGGTATCAAGCGATACAATCAGTATCAGTACACCAGCAACTGTGAAGTATATCCTTCAAATACCACGTCTCAGCTATAAGTTTTACAGAATATTCGAGAAATTTTAGTTCAAATTTATCTGTTTTGTCAAAAGACAGTAAAGATTTGACAAACAGCCTGCAATTAATCAACTCTGCATTAATGTCTGAGCTCCTCGGAACTGTTCCTTCTAATCTCACTGCACACCTATTTCTAATTGTGGGTTATAGAAAGAACACATAATGAAAAACAAGGCTTGGGTTCTTGTTCTAATCCCCAAATACCCCTAATGCTGGTACCACTAAGTGTACATATTACTGATTTCTCCAACAAATTAGAATATCAGGGCAAGCATCTATGCCTTTCATTTTTCACATGAATTTGAATGGTGACTTTTTGTGCGAGCAAGTTAGAGAAGTTTTAGAGAAAAACAAGATGTGTCACTCAGAGTTAACAACGAATAGGCACTAATTCAATCAATGACAGAATTCTTAGCAATTTCTACTCATATTGTCTTGTTTTGTTTAAATATTCAACATGTAATAAGTACTAAATTGCTTGGGTGAATGCAGACATCGTAATGGAGTTCTAGGACTGGAGACCCAACTACAGAAAGTTCCTGATGTTCTCACCATTGAACCTGCTGTGAAGAATCTACCTCTAAGCTGACATATAAGCCAGGTTGCATTGCAGGCCCCTAGAAAAACCACTCCTAGCCTCTTATTTTATCATGAAAGGGAAAGTGACCTTAATCCTAAACTCTATGAATGAAGCTCATAAATTACCTCCACTACCAACTGAACCCTTCTACAAAGATGGACATTTTACCTCTGACCTTCAATTTCACAGACTGCAATATTTACCACATTAAAGGTATAAAGAGCTAAGAAGTTTTTTCCTCGCCATTCTGTGAACTAACAGAGGGGACAAGGTGCATCATGAGCTCAGCATATTTAAAGACTTGACAAAAGATCTAGAAAATACCATTTTTGTAGTGCCTTGTGTAAATTAATGCATGGTTAGTAATTATTCTAAATGCTAAGCATCTACTTCAGACTGATTGTCTCATGATTTACTTATTTTATGTGTATGTTTTTGTGTCTGAAGGTATGTACGTATGCCATGCGAATGCAGGTGTCTGTGACCATCAGAGTATGGCATGGATCCCTCTGAAACTGGAGTTACAGGTGTTTGTGAACCACCGGAGCTAGGTGCTAGGCACTGAACATAGGTCCTCTTCAAGAGAAGCAGATGCTCTCAACCACTGAGCCATTTCTCCAGCCCCCAATATCTTGATTCTTAAGGGTGATATCAAAGTGTTCTGAATTTATATTAAAATGTAGGACCCTGAATATAAAGGTAAGTGGTGGACATATTGGTTATAGGTTCTATTGGCTTTTTCAGACAATACCTATCTAATCTAAAACCTTATTATAGAATTCATATGAAAAGTGGATAATCTAGTTAGTATTCCAACACCTTTAAAAATATAGTTCATTGTCAGTTTTAAAGCAATGTTAAAGCTAGATTTATCTCAATGATAAAGTCAAGTGCCTCTCCTTCAGCATATAAAAACTTCAGCATACATCTTAAATTTTATCTTCTCACATATATTTTAAATTTTAGCTGAACAAGTTTATTTCACCTCATATAAATGCTAGCTCCTAAAATCTTACCACGTCATAACTGTAGACAAGAAAAAAAAGCCTGTTCCATTCATTTGTTTTACTGTTCATTATAAATTCACCAAACTGGGTCCTTGCAGCAGTGGCTTTCCATACAGCATGAGTTTCAGATTGGACCAAAGAGTTATTAAACAAAGCCTGACTTTGGATAAGGCAGCCTTTGTAAGAAAATTTAAGAAGTCACAAACGGGATGGAGGTATGGCACAGTGATTAAGAACACATGTTGCGGGCTGGAGAGATGGCTCAGAGATTAAGAGCACTGATTGCTCTTCCAGGGGTCCTGAGTTCAATTCCCAGCAACCACATGGTGGCTCACACAACCATCTATAATAAGATCTTGTGCCCTCTTCTGGCCTGCATGGATATATGCAGACAGAACACTGTATACATGATAAATAAATCTTTAAAAAAACAAAAACAAAAACAAAAACAAAAAAACACTTGTTGCTCTTGCAATGGATCCTGGTTCCATTCTCCACATCCGCATGGCAGCTCACAATCACCCTTACTCCAGTCCCAAGGAATCCAACACTCTCTGAACTCTGCAGGCAACAGGTTGGCCCATAGTGCACAGACATGCATGTGGGTAAAATAGTCACACTTACCCAAAATATTCATATTTGAATATTCATGAAGGATATTCAATATATTCATAAAATAAGAGACAAAAACAAAGGTAGTGTTACTGGCAAACCCCATATTGGCATATGTAAGTTTTTCAGAAAGTTTAAGGACCTTTCAGAACAACATACTAAAATCCAGATGTCAGGATAAGTAACAGCTACTATCACGGTTTTTCTTTCAAAGTAATAGTGTTACTTAAAACTATACTAATATACTTATAAAACTATGTTCTTAAAACCTATTATCAGTAGTCTACAGCCATTTTCCAAAATATGACCCAAATTCAGCAATGGGTAACCAAAGGAATGAATGTTTATGATGCCAATGAAACAGGAAATAATAGAGAGGAATCAGAACTTTATCTGCCATGTATAGCAAATGGAGATAACTTGTAACCAGCTCTGTCTGAACTAGATCTCAAAGCATTTTATCCTGTACAATAATTACAAACTTACAATAACAATGTCCTGTATGGTCTGGGAGTGTTGAGGGGGGGATTTGGTGTTACACTTTTATTATATTTAGGAGTTTCTGCACAATTTCAACTATGATGATTTTAATGCCTTGGCTTAAAATTCTAACCAGAAAATCTTCCGCAGCACCCTGGATGGAAATGCTACATATCTGTAACTCATGTGTGCATTCATTATCTGAAGCAACTGCCACGTTTAAAGCACTGAACATCAAAGTCGAAAGCCTGGCTTTATGCACTGTAATTAGTGGTGTTGGTTCTGAGCAGCTATACCAACATGATTTAAGGATCAGTCAGCCAACACTGTCTACTTTCTATACTGTTGTTTCATAAGTTACAGCAGAATCAATGTAACTAAATAATGATAAAACCATAAAAGGTCCTATTTTTCCATTATTTTTAAATAAAATAGAGCTGCTAAAAACATGTGACTTTATCTGGGCATGGTGGCATACACCTAGCACTTGGGAACAGAGGCAGGCCCAGCCTGATCTACATAGTCAAGGCTAAATCACAGGGAGGCCCTGTCTTGAAAAAAAAAAAAAAGAAAAAGAAAAAAAAAACTAATGCTAAAAAGTTCTTTTTTCACAAACTGAACAGAGAAATGAGGATTTCATATATGTAGTTATACATGTGATCTGCAGCTTACTCTTTATCCAAAAACATATATGATCCTCCAAACTACAGGAATAAAGTAAAATCCTAAGAGACTACTAGTATTTACAAAAACAGGCATCAATGTCCAAGACATTAGCACATTGTGTAAATGCTGACTCAATGCCTAAATGCTGTGCTCCAATATGGGTAAATTTGATACACCTGCTATTTCAGCCCAAGATATATCGTTTATCAAAGCACATTCCAACAGCCTGCAAAGAAGAATTTGTCTTTTAGAAAATGTACTTAATAACTGACTTTGGAAAAACATGACTAAGCTACCCTTTAAGCAATCTTTTTTTTCCTTTCAAAGTACATGCTTAAGCACATTCTCCTTTGAGGTAGGGAAGGCTTTTAACTGTGGGGTGTAAAGGAAAGCAACACCACTCACAAAGGTGGTTACTTGACAAAATAGCTTGTCATGATGACCATGAACCTGAGAAAAACAGAAGTGTTAACAGAAATTAACCAACATGAAGCCACAGGGACTGTCTATTTCTCAGTAAAGTCCTTTTGTTTCATGGGATAGAGGCTTAACACATTTCTTCATCAAACAGAGAAATTCTTAATCAAGGAGAAAAGCAAAAGCCACACAGTCACACAGTCACAACAATATATGAGGGATAGAAAATATTGTCTAGTATATTTGAGCATAAGAAAAAAACAAGTTTATACCTGTTATTTAACCAAAGGAAGAAAAAAGTGTTGAACTGCTCCTTAAATTCAAACAAGACTCTACTTTGTTAGAGATGTGTAAGAGAGTCATAAATCCACTTTCATGAAGATAGCTGATTTATTGATTCATTTTTTTAACCCAGTTAATTTGATTCCACCAAAAAGAAGGAGGAAAAGAAAGAAGAGGAAGAACAAAAGAAAGAACGAGAGAGAAAGAAAGAGAAAGAAAGCCAGTAGAGAGACAGGGCAGAGGAGAAAAGCCAGTGAAGTAATGGGATACAAATCCTGCCCATTAGTTAACTCAGACGCACATAGGAGCACACTGTCTGTCCTGACACAGTGGCACCTCCCAGTAGGAAACACGCATGCGAGGGAATCTTGAAGATAATTCTTCCACTAAGACAAACTTAGCACCAGAAAGTGTTAGCACTACCCCAAAAGGGGCACAAAAGGCCCAGGGCCATGTAGAGAATATACACTATCATATCATATCTGGGGTCTGGCAGTGAAGAACAGTATAGAACATTTTTTTCAAGTCCTTCAGTTAATGAGGATTCCCACCCAGGCTTACAAAGCTAGGTCCCAAAGTTTAAGGTTTTTTCATGTTTGTGTTTTGCCCAAATAACTTTCAAACTTACTTCAGCGTATCAGTGGTTTCCTGTTCGCTGTCTTGTGTTGTATCCAAAGAAAATGCGTCAGACAGTTCTGAGGAGTTGGACTCTTGTTCTTCCACAGGAAGTACCTGAATCCTCACTGGGCAGCCAGTAATCTCCTTCTCCCTGTGGATCCCTTCCTCAGGAGGGCCACTGGGAGTTTGTGGATCTTTCTCAGATTTCTCCTGGTCATCTTTGAAAGAAGACTGTTTAACTTCCCCAAGAGATGACTTTCCTGAGATGTTGAATAAGTTCCCAAGAAACTGAAAAAAGCTTTCTTTGGGCTGTCGCTCACTTTCCCCTGTTTTGGCATCTGAGGTGGAATTAGAAAGGTCATTTGGCTTTGGGGGGTCGTCCAGCATTGGAAGAATGGCAGGCTGATCAGCTTGGTTCCTTCTGTCCTCACCTTGGGGAATCTGCAAACAAAATAAATTAGCATTGTCATTTACAAAACAACACAGACTAACTAGGCAGCTAGTGCAGGGACACACATGTGACCAAACCCTCAGCTTGTTTCTTCACACTGTTCATGACCTTCTTAGATCAGAGTCAGTGTAGCTTAAACAAAGCTGTATATTAACATCACAAAGGGAGACATATGGCACTCCAATACCCCAAACAGGAGGAACCAGTCTAGGTTTGGAAGAGGTGACAGAAGAGGTAACTAAGCAAGAGGTTGTAACTAAGCAATAGATAGAAGGGAACCCTTGTTGGGAACCCCTGTCTCTCTCTGCCTGTATTGTGAGGCATTAGCTTTTAAGGGGTTTACTACAACTGGAAAATAATTAGGATGCAAATCTGAGAAGAGTGAGAAGGTAGATAAGGGACAGATCATGGTAAACCTTACTGGTACTTAATTAAATATGCCCGTTACCACTATAGAGCTAGCTGGTATTACTTCAAATACTCAGTAATTAGACAAATGAACCACCCTGACTGTACCATTTCAGCACTGTATTAATTCATGATGCTGTTGTATTATGTAAACTGTTCCACACTAGGTGGTTAAGAAAGATGATAACAGCAATTCCCAGTAAAGGCCCACTGAAACCCTTCATGGTAACACACTGAGTCCTGATAGGGAATTACATGCAAAAGGAGGAGTGCATTGGTTGTTCTTTGAAGACACTGAACATCTTCAAGGCATCTGCTCAAAACTCAACTATCAGTAAAGCAGCATAGCCACATTCATGTGAACCACTGGAGCTAAGGTTAAACCAGGAGAGCAGAGCATGTGCTGGCATTTCACCTCACACTCTTTCAGGATTCCAAAAAGCTTAAAGCAAATGTGCCAACTCAGCCTGCCTTCCAAACATGCTTGCTCACCCAGTTGCATACCTGGAAACAGAATGCACACCCTAAAGTATCTGTCATTCACTATGCTCAAGAGTCCTCATAAAAGGAAAACTCAAGTGTGAGTCAGGCAAAGGTCAAGGTCAAACCACCCTAGGGGATGGTGGATTCACATGACACAGTTTGGTAAGAAGCCAGTCTTCAAGACAGCAAAGCTATCATGACTGTTCATGCAATTTGTTCACTTCAGCCCATGTTTTAATCCAGGTTTGAAACAGCTTTAAAGGGGCATTCCACTCACCACTTATCAAATATAGTATGTGGCACTGAAAATAATGCTAAAACATGATGATGAGCAAAAAATTCAGTATTTGAAGTTGGTGGCTCTGGTGGGATCTTAGCATTCTCTCTCTACCAAGCCATCTCACTTCCTGTCTGTCTGACAGACCTCTAGATCTCTATGGTTAAGCTGGTGGCACACTCCATTCCCTGATCTTCAGGCAGGCTTTATTTGTAAAAGCAAGATATCACCACAGGTGGCCACCTGAGAACATTGTATTTTTTTTTCCTAAGAGCATTTTTCTATTATAATATCAAGTTATGACTAGATGTAACTTGTAACCCTCTACCTCTGGAATACTCCAGGCTTTCAGAGTCTCTGAAGGCTCACCTTCTATGGGTTTCGTGTGTGATCTGACCCCACTTATTACCACACTCCCTTACTTGCCCTGTTTATCCATACAACTCCCTCAGTGCCCGCAGTCAGGTCCGTGGAGCCCTCACCTCAACTGCCTCCTTATTTGGCACAAGACATGCTAGTTCGCTCACATATATCAAAGACACTTTTTTTTGTTTTTTTTTTTTGTTTTTTTTTTTTTTGGCCTTTGACTACATTTAATTTATTCTAGTTCCTAAGCAGGCCATTTCTCCCTAGGTCAAAGTGGGCCAGCATGGTGAGTGTGTGACTCACTCTTTGCTGTAACTAGCTTGAGTGACTGCTCTTTATTCATGGCCACTTGGAGAAGGAGACCCATGGGCCACTGACAGTAAAATGCTCGAGGTTCACGAAGAAACCAATGCTTGTGTCTCTTCATTTTCCATTTCCAGCTTCTAGGATGTCTCAGCTGCTTAATTTTCCCCTCATAACCTTTCTGAGAATGTTTTTCTCAGTAATTAGAAGTCTCAGCAAGAAGGAAGCTTCTAACTTTAGAAACAAATGTGAACAAGCAAGAACATTAAACTGAAACACCTACAATAAAATCTGCATTTCTATACTTCAAATTTGAAGTCTGATCTAAAGCAGCTGTTCTTTGCCATGGGCTTGGAAACAATGAAGTTAGGCCAACCACAGGCTCTTTTTAGGTGGGGCCCACTTCCTTCTGCCAATAGGCCTGTTTACCATTGTTCTAAGGAGTCAGTAGGATAAAAACACTCAGATTCGAGCAAACAATAACAAACATTAATTCCAGTTATGTACAAAGATACAGTTATTCTACTTATAAAATATAACTGCAAGAAGGAAGGCATGTGTTTTTAGAATCTTTTACTTCTTTTAACATACTAAGTTGTAATGTTGTGAGCTCTTTAAGTTCATCCATCTACATACACGCTGTTCTGTGCAGTATAAGGAGACAGAAGAAAGCAATATTTTGTACTGATTACAACTCACTTAGCAATACATGGTCTTCAGGGTGTTGACAACTGAGCAAGATGCTGATCACTGGGAGTGGGGAGATGTCTAGAAAAGGGAGGTGCACAATGGAAGGCTAATTAACTTTGAGCAGGGATAGAGACTCATAGTAGAAAGAAAATAACTTTGCAGCTTGCCAGATCCAAGGGGTGGCATGTGAGATGTGAATGATGTGTGCCACAAGACGAGAATCACACAAGAATAAAGGACAGAAGAATCAAGGGACCAAAGACAGAGCATTATGGCTGAGGTAAAAGACTAAAAGTCATGAGAAGAGAAGACCAAAGCCAGGCTAAGTTGTTCCCTCCAGGATATTGGTCTCCAGACAAAGGACAAAGTAAAAGCAGAAGGGAGCAAGGAATGCCAAGACCACAGCCAGACTCTAACAAAATGAGACTGTCCCCTGGCAGGTCTCCTGGGAGTTTTTCATTCACTCTTCTTTCTGCCTACGCCCATCTTCCCTTGGCTCACCCCTCAACTCCTGCAGAACTCTTCTGTAGGTCTTGCCGTCCCCATCAAAATTAATTAGCTAAGTCCTGTATTTCAAAACTACCTAATTCTTTTCTCTATTTTTATTCTTTTGTTCACTAGTAAACATGCATGCACATGTACAAGCACATGCACGCACACACATACACACATGCACACACGTGCTTTCTTCATTTAGAAAATAAAACCCACAAATGCAGAAAGCTCTATTTCACTCATGGGAACGTTTCTAGGTACACAGAAACATGTCTAAGAGGTGCCCAGATTTCTGTTGGAATATAGAGGGTGAGCAGACTATGAAGATCATTCAGTATGAAACTATTCAGTTGTAATTGCTCAGATGTTTCCGAGTCCATTTCTAAACTCAGGGTGTTAGGCAGTGTCAGCTGTAACGAAACAGGAAAGTCACAACACAGAAGGGACTCTCTGAGGCTTTAAACCAGGAAGAATGACAAATGGTCTTTTAAGTTCCAAGACAGAAGTGGCCTTTTGTTCCTGTTGTGTGGGGCAGTTCTGCACTTGTGGGAAAGGAAAGGCTAGAAGCTTCTAGAAGAAAACTAGAAAGTGAAGAGACAAAGTGAGCAGTTCCTAATAGACCAATAAAGGGAAAGTATTAGCCTTAGGGAGAAGTAGGAACATTTCTTTTTGAAGTAAAGGATAGTGCTGAAGCCTGAACAATTCTGTGTGGACAGTTCTTTAAACACAAGTGGTTCTGATGCCAGAAACAAGATAGGGAAGACGAGGAACAGAAAGAGAGGCTTGGGTGAAGTTGGGACTTGGGTCCCCTCAAACGAAGGGCACTTGGAAAAATGTTTCTGAAGGATGTAACCCTAAATCAGCAACAGACTAAGCAGGATAAGCAAAACAGCAGTTGGTTCAAGGTAAACTTTAAAGTATTTATTCATTAAGAAAATAACAGGACACTATGTTTGGATTTGGCCAAGAAAAGATACTCAAACTTCTATTATTGCCAAACCCACATTCTAGTGATACAAGAATTTTTAATAAATCTAATCAGCATTAGCATCTTCTTTAATAGCCTGTAGCAGATGGGAGGGCTATTATACCAACAAATTGCTAGCATTTTGAGGATGTTGGGACTGTTGCCAAATGAAGATACTGAGAGGAAGAGAAGAGGCAAATGACTTTTCCTACAAGACCGTGATTGCACCTCCTATCCACACAGCTACTGCCTTTTTTGCACACAAGGGCAGCCCTTCAGAACACTAACCAGCTCCTCTGCATCCTCAACTCCAGGAATCTACACTCACTTCTGCTCCACCTCCTGGCCCTGCTTTTTACTGTCACCATCCTAATTCTGACTCTTAACATCGGGAAGCCCAGTGGTCCATTCATACCTTCGCATCTTTGCAGCTCTTACCCACTGATATAGACAGGCCAGCATACCAACTCTCTAGCCTTGGAACAGCCTTCTTCCTTCAGGCTTATTTTCTTTCAGTTCTCAGAAACATTTCCATCCTCTCCACCCAGCTGTTAGGTACAGCCAGTACCCTGAGATCCTGTCCTGATCCCTGGTTACTTCCACTGGTCTCTACTCAAACCTGACCACAGGAAATGAAGTTTATCTTTTCTACATTGGCAAACGAATCTTGGTTTGAAATGAGCTTCACCAAGAAGTCTTTTGAACCCTTTTCACAGTCCTTAGACTAAGCATCCAGTATCCATTCACACTAAGTGTCAAGACCTGCATTCTATTGAAAGTCATTCCCTCATAGTCTGGACTTGGCTTTCTCCTCTACCTGCAAGGTGGCCTCTGGCCTACTTCTTTCTCTAGCTTTGCAGGCAAGGAGGAAAGAAAGACTACCCCTCCCCACACGGATTCTTCCATGGGGCAACATTTCATCATTCCTGGTTTCTCCTTGGGGAGTCCAGTTACTCATTTGCCCTTCAGTAAGCCTCAACCAAGAAGTTGTCTGTGTTCAG